ACCAAAAAAAAAAAAAAAAAAAAAAAAAAAAAGAGGTATGCTGCTGCACACGTGTAATCCCGGTACTCTGGGAGGCTGATGCAGGGGGATTACAAATTCAAGCGCATCCTGGCACCTTAGTGACTGAGCACAATCCTGTCTCCAAATGAAAACTGAATAAGGCTGGGGATGCAGCTCAGAGTGCAGGTTCTGGGTTCGATTCCCAGCACTGGAAAGAAAAGTTCCTGTTCATTTGTTTTCCCACCCCTGCCCTCCGGTACACCACCTTACTTTCCAATAAAGCTGTTCTTGTTTGCAATTTCTTTCCAGCTCACCAGTGACCTGCCTGTCGCCAAAGGCAAAGGTCAGTCCCCAATCCTTACTCTTGATGTTTTAGCTGCCTTTGAAATGGTGGATCAGTTAGTTGGAAAAACTTCTTGTTTGGCTTCCAGGATGGTGTTGCCTCCAAGTGTCCTATTTGTAGGGCTTCTAGGATGGCCTAATAGTTTCTTCACCTTCCCCCTGCTTCGTTGGCTGCTGAGTCTTGATGGCGATTCAGCCCTCCACCCTTCCCCCTTTCCCATCTGTGTTCAATCCTGAGAGACCTCATTCCCGCTCGTGGTTTTTTTTTTTTTACCAGTTTATTATAAATAACATCACAAAGGGTAACAGACAAAGAGAGGTAAAGAGAGGTGAGGAATGAGGGAAGGGGCACAGCTCTTCCGTGAGCTCTGTGGGTGCATCCTTGTCCAGGAACCTCTACAAGTTCACATGTTCAGCTCTCCAAATCCTGCCCTTTCAGAGCGCTATGGAGACTTCACAGCATAGGCATGACTAAAGCAGGAGCAATTGGCCCTGGCCCCTACCCCAGAAGACATGAAAGAGGTGGTGTCAGCAGCAGTTGCTTCCGACAGGGTCCCCCAGCGGCGGTGGCTGCTTCCACCCACGGCCCTGATCTACTGCCATCACCATGTTGGAGGGTCCCACTCATGGTTTAAGTGCCACCCACTGGCAGATGCTCAGGTTTACACCACTGGCCCCAGTCTCTTCTCTAGACCCAGGGTGATGTGTCCAAGTCCTCACTGCACCTCTCTGTGGGTGTCTAGAAGGCACTGTGAATGCACTGTCTCAAATAGAATGGTTCATGTCACCTCCAACCGGCTTCTTTCCACCTGAGTGAAATCACAGGGCCGTTTACCCAACTGCCCTCTCCACTGCCCTTACGCGCTGTGACCAGCCTACTTTAATTCTTGTTTTTATTCTTTCGTCCAGTCTACTTTTAGACCTCATCCAGATTTCCTCTCCTTCTTACCACTTCTACTATTATTCGGTTGGAGGTCTTGCCTAGGTTCCTATGTTCTGAACAAACAACTGAGCAGGACATCCAAGAGCAACAGCAGCATCGGTGGTTTATTTGAAAAGGAAAAGACAAGCTCCACTCCACAGGAAGGGCTCACAGCCTTGAGGGGCTTGGTGTAGAGGGTTGCAAACCTTGGATTTTTGAGGACTGACGTTCTGGGATTGAGGGTTTGGTCTGAGGCGCGCCATTGCAAGGGGCTGTACTACATCCGAATAGTCAGTGAATGGTGATGCAGGTTGACCGTTGCCAAGGTTTGCAGAAGACCGCCGGGCACATGACCTGAGACTCATTATGTACAGGTGGTTACCTGGTTACCTTTCCCCAACGTGTTTAGAGTGGCATATCCTGCTCCTAGGCTAATGTTTAACTCAGAAGGTGGATCTGACCCAGAAAGCAGCTCTAAGGCAGGCAGACCCTTCTCTCTCCAGCCTTTTCTTAGCTATCTCTTGCCTAACTACCACAGCCCTAGACCTTGACCCGGACCTCACAATCTCTTGCTCAAACAGTTGTAATATTGTCCTTAAAGCCAGAAGAAACTCTTTAAAAATGCAAATCAGAACTGGCCACTTGGCTACCGTGTTAGAATGGCTTCTTGCCATACCCAGAACACTACCCAAAGTCCTTCTGTGGACTCAAGGCCCTTTGCCACCTGGTGGCTGGCATCTCTTCAACTTCCTCTCCTCCCAGTTTTCCTTGCTTACTTACATCAGCCACATTGGCCTTTCTGTTCATCCTCAGCTACTGAATGTGCCTCAGGACCTTAGCACTTGCTCTTCCCTCAGGCAGGGCTTATTCACTTATTTTATTCAAATATCTGCCCAAATGGTGGCCACCTCAAAGAATTCTTCCTGCTTACCCCACTACCCATAATCCTCAATTCCTTTGCCAAATGTTGTCATGTGCTTATCAGTTTACATTTGTTTACTGTCATCTCCCCTATTCAAATACAAGCTGCACTGGGGCAAAGACTTGCATTTGTTTCTGTTACATTCTCGGTGTCTGGAGGAGTCCAGCAAATAGTAGGTGCCGCATAGTGAGTGAATAACTGAAAAGATTCCAGACAGCACTGTGGGATTAAGTGAAGTGAGACTTGCGGACACACTTTTTAAACTCTGGAGCACTGCTCAAGTGTAAGATATGTATAATTTGTGTAGCATCCTACTCTTCCTGTTGATCTTCATGATATATTCCATTGCACAAAATTACTGATTCCTAAGAAGGAACTTCAGAGACCATTGCCTTTGACATAAAAAGATGTCACTATGGGCCGAGGGTACAGCTCAGCAGCACAGCACCTGCCTGGCAAACATGAGGTCCCGAGTTCAATTTCCGGTCCCCAAAAAAAAAAAAAAAAGATGTCACCTTCCCTTAGCCCTCTCCCATCTCTTCCCCTGTAACTTTGCTTAAGCTGTACGACCCTGACCAAATCCTTTCATTCACTGGGATCCATTTTCTCATCTTTAAAAGACAACACTGAACTAGATTATCTCTCCATTCCAATTCTAACTTTAAAGAAGGACAGGGACTCGGCAAATAATAGGGAAAGGCAGGAAGGAGAAAGGCCCTCCCACATACATTTTTGTGTCTCACTGCCCACCTTTCTTGCTGCGATTCAGCAGGAGGAAGGTCACAATTCCTCAGCACGCAGAGGCCACAGCCCGCCAACCACTGCCTTTGTGCTTCCAGCTACCGACCTTGCATTTCAGATGTGGTTGCCTGGATGTCTGAAACTCTCCCTCACCTTACTTTCCTAGGAGAGATACCTTTTCAATGCAACATTTAACATTTTTCATGTTTCCAAACATTCTTTTCCAGTAGTTCATGGTACTGGTAGAGACAGCAAAATAGAGGAGAGACAGTGCCGAATGCTCAGCCGCCTGTATTTATTACATGAATGAATGAATGAATGAATGAATGGATGGATGGATTAATGAAGTGAGTTAACACAATTTAAAAGTGTGCTGTTGTAGTTCACATTTCATTTTATAACTTGTTTTGCATTTGGGATCTAGTTCCCCATAGAAACAATGTTATAAAGGTTGCGTAAGTGCCAAGACATTGCATGAAGGCTATTATAATGTAGCAATAAAATGCAGAAAAATAATGAAATGTCGAGATTCAAGCAAAATAGGGTAACAACATGGGTTCAATAATTTTGATTATTGGTACTTGAGGAAACCTAGTTTTAATTGGAAAATGAGGTGGTTCTTAAAAAATACGGAGACTCTCAAGACAATAAGATAGAGTCCCTTCAAGGGTACTTGGTAGAAAGAGGAAAAGGAACCAATGTGGTGAGAGCAAGATTCTGCCTAGAGAGTAGAACTATGTCAAAGGAAATGATGATACATGGAAGCCGTACAGTAGCTCAGGGCATGTGGACACTGGCCAGAACCAAGGGGATATGGCGCTGGTGTCTGTACATGACAGGACACCAGGCTATGGACTTTGAGGTGTTCACACGGCAGGTTCTCTTGACATACCCAGGTGGTTTCTGCAGAATGTATAATTTGTGTAGCATCCTAGTCTTCCTGTTGATCTTGGTGATATATTCCACTGCACAAAATTACTGATTCCTAAGGAGCTTCAGACACCGTTGCCTTTGACATAAAAAGATGTCACTATGGGCTGGGGGTACAGCTCAGTGGCACAGCGCCTGCCTGGCAAACATGAGGTTCCGAGTTCAATTCCCAGTTCCAAAAAAAAAAAAAGTCACCTTCCCTTAGCCCTCTCCCTTCCATCTCTTCCCCATTAGCTTTCGCTGTACGACCCTGACCAAATCCTTTCATTCACTGGGATTCATTTTCTCATCTTTAAATGATGACACCGAACTAAATCATCTTTCCTTTCCAATTCTAAAAATTTGATCGTAAATTTCTCCAAAGTGAAAAGAGGATGGAATCTAATTATCATAGTCCAAATGAAATAGCTGTGATTTCTAAAACAGTTGTCTCTGAATGTCGCAGATGATTCGGAGCTAACGTAAAGGACCTCTCTGTTCAGAGGTGTTTTGGGGAATTGGCATTTCTCTAGTAAAGCCGGCGTGAGAAGTGCAAAGGTTGTCTTTCTGTTCAAAGTCAGGGTGAGAGCCTGAGGGTGGTGCATGTGTGTAACCCCAACTACTCCGAAGGCTGACGCAGGAGGATTGCGAGTTCAAGGCTTGTTTATAGACCAGACTCTAAATCAAATAAAAGAAGAGATGGGGGAAGAAGGAAGGAAAGGAGGAAAGAAACACAGGGTGTAGCTTAGAGCTCCCTGGAGTCAATCCTCAGTACTAAAAAAAGGGAGTGATTAACAGTAATACTAGCAAAAATCTGTTTTTATCTCCTTCCACTCACTGGTTTTCTGGGCGTCCACAGCAGATAAAACCCTATTTCCTGCCCTCGAGTTCCCCCTCCTCGGCTTTCCAGGCACTAATTGGCACAGGCCCCTAGAACGAGGACAGGCTCGCTCGCAGAACCCCCACACTCCTACACCTCCTAAGAGGGTTCCAGCGGCCCGCGAGGGGCGGGGCGGCCGGAAGAGTGGCCGCCACACTTCCGGCGTTCCTCCTGGGCGCCCGCCACACTTCCTGTTGATCTGCTGTGGCTGGGGAGGGGCGCGGAGGAGGGCCGGGTGGGCGTGGCTGGTCCTGGAGGGGCGGGGCCTGCCGTGGAGGGGCGGGGCCCGGCGGCCGGAGCGGCGGCACAGTCCTCGGAGTAAGCGCTTCGTTGTCCCCGCCGCGTCCAGTCCTCGGCCCGTCCTTGTCATCGGCCCTCGCTCGCCGCACCATGCCCGCCGTGGACAAGCTCCTGCTGGAGGAGGCCTTGCAGGACAGCCCCCAGGTACCGCCGCCGCCGGGCCCTCGCCGCGGCCAGAGACCGGGCTGGAGTACCGAAGGCCGCCGCGGCCCAGCCCGGTGTCGCCGCCCCGCCTCTCGGGCTGAGTTACATAGGGGTGTCCCGGGCAATCAACTTCACCTTTCACTTCCTTTTTCTCCTCCAGTACTGGGGATTGAACCCAGGGCCTTCACTCTGAGCGCCACCCACAGCCCGGGTCTCCCTCAGTTGCCTAGGCTGGGCTGCAACTTGAGATCCTCCTGCTTCAGCTTCCCAGAGTGCTGGGATTCCAGTCGTGCACCATCCTAACCGGCTGTGCTTTGGCATTGTCCTCTGTAAAACAGAGATGATATCGTACCCGCGTTAGAATTAGGTGGGAGGTACCTGCGGAGTTTTGATCCGAGTTGGTCAGTCTGACTACCGCAGGTACTGCTGGGACTGCTGCTGGTGTGCTGAGATCTGGTGGATTTAGGGCCCAGCGTGGAGAGTAGAAAGCTGGATCCTTTTCTCAGGCGTGCCGGGCCGCGCTTGGCACTGTTTACCTGTGGAGAGGAGATCAGACAAGTGCCGCTCTGCCCCAGGAGTGAGCTGCGTCCTGTGAGCTGGGATTGGAAACGGGTGCCCACTGGAGAAAGAGTGAGGTGACATTAGCTTACACCTCCGTGCTCCCGCCCGGGGGCTTTGCTGTCCTTTACCAGGTCTCCTACTTTCTCTCTCCTCTCCTGGGCCTGCATTCCTGGGGTGTTTAAATAAGAACCTTTATTTTTAAAATTAAGTTTATTGGTAAGGACTGGATATGCATAATGATCACATTCAGCGGAGGGAATCTCCCTGTACGCGTAAGTAGCATCTGCATTCGCTAGCGGCTCAGCTCCTGCACGCTCAGCGCACTAAAGCGCTCACCCGTCCGCTCTTTGAGTTCCCTCCTTGTCCCTTGATGGCGTGGCCCGGCCCGGGGGAGCCTTCGTCCTTTTCTGAACACACAGTGTCGGTCTCCCATGCAGAACGAGCCACAAGGGTGGGCGCACGGTGAGGGCGGTTCTCCCCCACCGGGGACAAGCAGGAACTCCGCAAGCTGTGCTTTCTCCTTGTGCGGACTGAGCTGCTCCGGCGACTGCCTTCTCAGAGGCCGCTTTATGCAGCTCTGGATGTGGGGTATTCGGGTCAGACCCACCTCGGGGTAGGGAGCATCTCACCCGTCACCCCGCTGAGTGGGGTCTGAGCGTCTGAGCGTAAGGGCGTGAAGTTTCTGCCCATCCTTGCGAGCTTTTGGTTGGGGATCCTGAGCACAAGGATGCGTTGCTCTCCTAGCCAGACTGGGGCACAGCCCGGTCGGGTGGAGGTGCTGTGCTGATGTGCTTGTCCTTGCTGACAAATCGCATGGTGAAGCTTCGGCTGTCGCAGAAACGGACAGACGCTGCTTCTGGGTGGCTTAACAGGTTTGCTCAGCCGCAAGGGAGGAGAAGGACGGAAGAGGAGTCAGGACAGCTGGGCTGCGGTGCTGGCTCTAACCCTACCTTGTCATGTGCTGTGGGCAAGTGACTTCATCGCCATCCTGTGCCCTCTGTAGGATGCCGACGCGGAGCAGATGGCCTTCGAGGCGCTGTAGAAGCTTGAAGTCCTGTCATATCTGCAGGGTTTATAACCTTGAGCCTGTGTGTGGAAAAGAGGTTTAAAGGCATTGCCATTCCTGCTTCATGTTCCTTTTAAAAATTCATTTCTTAAGTTGTATTCATTGAGACAGGGCCTTACTATGCAGTTTAGGCTGGGCTTGAAGTCACTGGTTAGGCCAGGCTGGCCTGGAACTCCTCCTGCCTCAGCCTCCCAAGTGTTAGGATTACAGGTGTGCACCACCACGCCAGGCTTAATGTTCCTTTTAATGTAGGGAGTTAGTCATTGTGTTGAGACTCGATTGTTACCCTTTGAGGTTTTGATGCGGTTGCAAAGGAGAGGCTGACTGTAGGATGGTCTCTAATGTCACCGGGGCACACGGGGCCCTCTCGGGTGTGTGGCACGTGCCGGATGCAGCCCGTACTCTGGAGAATTGCAAACTTGGAGCTGGACACGGTCGGATCCCTTCCCGCCATTTTATCAGGAGAGAATAAAGGGAACAGCAGGTGCCCAGGCCCCGCCGCTGTGCCAAGAGCTCTATCGGGTGAGCTCATGAGATCTCCCAGCAGTTGTTTGACGTAGGTTCTCTGTTAAGTGGCCAGGGAGCAGGGAACTGAATAACTGGACACACCAGCGTGACGGCGGTGTGATCGGAACCTGGGCCGCGTGCTCGGCCGCGGAGATCACTTAAGTTACCCAGTTACCTCACTGCCGCCTCCTCTGTCACTGCTGACCTAAAATGTTGTTCCCCTAAGAGGACAATGCCTAAGAAACCGTCCACCGTTCGCGTCCCCTGGTGTTGGGTGTGAGCGCCGGGAGAGTTGCTCCAGTAACCAGGTTGCAGGGCACACACTAAATGAGCACAAAGGCTTCTGTATCTGAACCGAGTGACCCAGGAGGAGCTGGTGGAACCTCGGCCTTAGCCACGGCTATTCATTTCCTCCCCCGTGGCCTGCAGCGCTGTGCGTGTGGAGACACAGCCTGTGTGTGCACGCGGGGTTTTTCTGCTCCCCCACAGGGGCCAGGCGGGTGTTTTAGGTGTTTTGCATTCATGAGTCTCTGTCCTGGCACTGCCCACGGGGAGTGTGGTCATGAAGGAGACAGGCACGCCTGCCCGCGGCAGGGGACGGATAAGGAGGCCGCTGGTCCAGCACAGTGTGTGCCTGCAGCCAGGGTCGATGGGGATTCAGTGACGGCTCGCTCTGGACTCAGCTGCAGAGACACGCTGGGGACACGCTGCGGCTTGCTGCTGTTAGCATCTTTGTTTTTAACCTTGACATTCTGTAAAATAATCAGCTGTGTTAAAATCAGAACATTTCACAATTTCACGCTGTTGAGAATGTCCGGGGCTGTCTGATTGGCTAGCGCCCAGTTTGATTTTACCCTAAGGTAGAGGAATGCCATGCCAGATGCTGTAGAGAGGGTGGGTAGCAGAGAGAGGAGGGGATTCTGATCCTGAATGTGGCCTTTGGCAAGATAGTCACCCTCTCTGAGCTTGTGTTTGGACTGAGAATTAAAAGAGCCCCTTGAAGCCAGGCGTGGTGGCACACATCTGTAATCCCAGTGCTCAGGAGGCTGAGGCAGGAGGATCACCATGACTTCGAGGCCAGTGTGGGCTACATAGTGAGACCTTATCTCAAAATAAATTTTAAAAAAGAGCCACTTGAGTTGTTTTGGAGAGTAAGTGACATTTGTTCCCAGCAGAGCTGGAGGTGGGGATGCAGGCCCGGTGGCCATGTCAGGGGAGGGACCACCCAGAGCATGTGGACAGCTCTTTGCAGTAATATGTTTTTCAAGGAGAACATGTACTTGAAAGAGATGTAACGAAGAATTGTAACTCAGTGTCTCTGCAAATGTGTGGGTTGTCATCCATTGTTGGATTGTGAAATCCAGAAGGTCTCCACTGCCGTTTTTGTTAATGAAATAAAAGAGAAAAAAATAAGAATGTGCAGTCATCCTGTTGATATTGTTTGGTGAAGCTTTTGTTCAGGCTCTGGTATAAACTATAGTTTGGACTGTGGGTTTTAATTTAATATAATATAATTTAATTTAATTTAATTTGGTTTTTTTGAGACAGGGTCTCACCATGCAGTGCAGGCTGGCCTTGAACTCACTGGTGGCCTCAAACTCATGGTGATCCTCCTGCCTCAGCCTCCCAAGCACTGGGATGATAGTCATGTGCCGTCATGCCCAGCTCTGGATTTTAAGTTTAGAAGTTCGAGGAGCCCGTCTAACAGGAGTGGCGTGCTGGCCCAGTGCTAGGCCCTTGGTTTGTTCTCGCTGAGAGCTGCTGAAAAGCGGTTTCCACTGCCTGGTGTGTGCCACATGGTTTCTGAGGTGGTGCCAGCGGCCTGGGGAGGGTGTCGAGCCTTCGTGGGACGCCTTAGCCAGATGCCCCCCAGCAGGAGGAGCACACGCTGCTGTGCGGGCCTGGGTCTGTGGGCAGAGTCGAGGGCCACGTGAGTGGGGGAGGTGGCCCAGCCCTGGGGGCTCAGGCCCCAGGAGGCGGACACACGCGGGACCCCTCGGGCACGCAGACCCCGTCTGTCCTCTGCTGGGGCCAGACGCAGAAAGATGGACTGGAGATTCCTCGGCAGGGGCCTGGGGCCCGCGAGATGGTCTCCGTGACCTGCGCACCGACTGGCGCGAGGCCTGTCTGTGATCTCTCTGCTCGTGCCTGCGGGCTGCCTCAGAGCCAGACGCCGAGAGCGTCCCCCTCTCCTTTGAGATTCCCACCATGCTGGGCACTGCCACGGATGTCCCACCGTGGCTCTCTTCCGTGACACCCTGGCATGAGTGACCGTGCACGCGTGTCTGAGTACTGGTGTATGCCAGGTGCCGGCTTGAGCCTGCCCTGGTCCCTGGGAGACAGGGATTGATCGCCCTCCTGAAGGTTAGGGTTGGCGCCAAGAGCCCCCCCACCCCCACCGGCACTGCCCAGGCTGTGGTATTCCTGACCCTGAGTCTGAGAGTTGATTGAATCAAATAAGGCAGAAACCGTGGAGAGAGACCGCTGCTTCTTAGGAAGTGAGGACGCACTCGCCTGAGGATGGATAGATCACGGAATCTAGCAGCTGCGGCCCCAGGGTGATCACACCCCTTGCCCCTGGTGCCGATGCCCCGCCGTCTGTCCCTGTGGAGGCTTTATTATGTCCCTGATGGTGTTTTGTTGGCAGAAGTTCACAGACACAGAGGTGGGGAAGGACAGGCAGACCCAGCCCTCAGTCTCCATCCCTCTCTTGCCTGGCGAGGCTCGGGCCTTGCACGGCGGATGTGGGCGCTCCACCTCTGAGCCCTGTGCCTGCTCGAGGTAAGGTCTGAGCAGCTGCTTCTCCTTCTCGGGGCCAAATACACATTGCCTTCAGCCTGGCCCTGTCCCAGCGTTGAAGGGTTTAGAAAGGGAGCCCTTGCTGGGTGTGGTGGTGCACACCTGTCGTCTCAGCACTCAGGAGGCTGAGGCAGGAATATCGCCTGGAGTTCGAGGCCAGCCTAAGCTACATAGTGAGTTTACAGCCAGCCTGTACTACGTAGTGAGACCCCGTCTCCAAAAGACAAAAAGGAAGGAAGGAAGGGAGGGAAAGAAAGAAGCTTTCAGCTCCCCATCCCCTGCAAGATGAAAACCAGAGAACCCCCAGCTCTGTTGCCCGTTTCATTTGTGCGCCTGTGTCCTCTGGGTGTGTAACTTTAACCCCAGAAACAGACTGACCCCCTCGCCCTCTCCCCGCAGACCCGCTCTTTGCTGAGCGTCTTTGAGGAGGATGCCGGCACCCTCACCGTCTACACCAACCAGCTGCTGCAGGCCATGCAGCGAGTCTACGGGGCCCAGGTAAGCCTGCCCTTCCCCGGGCGTGGGAAATCCGAGTCAGAACAATAGTTACTTTTTTTTTTTTTTTTATGTAAAAGAAATTTTAAAAAATTTAACCAGGCACAGGAGGATCCCTGTGAGTTTCGCGGTGAGTTCAAGGCTAGCCCAAACTACATAGGGAGCCTCTGTCTCAAAAAAAAAGTTTATAGTTTTGAAATAAAGTCAGAATTCTTTTTCTCAGAGCTGTTCATCTCAAAAAAGACTGTTTCCTTGAGAGTCGTTTTCCTGTAACAAGAACCAGTCGAGAGGGACATCTGACTGCTTTGAACTTGTTTAAAAATTCAACCACAAAGGGAACCACCGGGGTCTCCTCTTCCCGCGAGAGCACGAGGGGGTTCGGTTCGTGGGGCCCGGCTCTGTCTCCCTCCTACGGGCGAGGGCAGGGTGGCTCCCGGGGTTCCCCTCAAAGACGAGCCACAGCCCTGAGCCGTGGGGTGGCGGCTTTGTTTTGAGGAACAAATGCCTCGGGCTTGCAAACCCATGGAAAATAAATTGCTGAGCAGCGAAAAGGAAGCTTTTAGGATGAAAACATGCCAGTGCGTCCCTTTCTGCGGGTGATTTGTGAGGCATGTAGACGCAGCGCCGTGCTCCCGTCGCAGTGCTGTGGCGGTCGGTTTCTCTGCCGAGTCGCTGCCAGCCCGGTCTGTGTGCGTTCCTGTGTCCGTGTCTCACTGTGATCTCTGAAGATGTGAGCTCCACCTCGAGCAGCACGTGGCTCTTCATAATTGCACCCGGTCGCGGTTACAGCGCCGTAACCCTCATATCATCACGCGCTGTCTTATTGTCTGTCGCTCCAGCGTGGGAACAGCGTCAGTCTTGTCACAGGGAGCTTCCTGCTGGGTAGGGGCGCGGACGCGGTCACCGGCCTGACTGGAAGCGCTAGGGGAGGAGGCGCCTCGCCCAGAGGAGCTCTGCAGTCAGCTTTCTGGAGCTGTGACAGGTGCCTGAGAAGATCGGTGGGGAAGGGGGAAGGGTTCATTCTGGCTCCTGGCTTCAGGGTGTGCAGTCCCTGGCACTTGGCCTGCTGCTTTGGACCAGTGGATGTAAACTGCCCACCTCGGGGTGGGTGGCTGGAAGTCAGGGAGGGCAGACAGGGCCTGGGTCCAGTGTGTCCATCAAGGGCACCCCCCAGTGACTGCATCCTCCCGCCAGGCCCTACCTCTGAGGTTCCAGAGACCGAGCCTTCCACACGTGGGCCTTGGGGACGCTCAAGGTCCAGGCCATCCCTTCGGGGCCCAAGGAGGGCGAGGGCTGAGCCGAGATGGATGCAGTGCAGGCAGCTTCAGGGCTTTGACGGTGGATTCTTTCGTGGAAACCCCGCAGCCAGCCAGCCTGTGTGCGGGCAGGTGTTGTTGTATTGTGCCGTTGATGGGGCAGAAGGCTTTGGGCTCCAGTAACAAGCGGCTTGCCCTGGTCCTCCGCATGTACAGCTACTGCGTGTCAGTGAAAAATAAAAATAGACTTAAAAAGAGAGGTGGCAGGCCTTTGACTCGGACATGTGGCGGACAGATGAGAGAACATGGAGACAGGAGGGCACACGCGTGTGTGCACAGGAGCGTGTGCATGTGTTGGTGGCAGGGACACCCACATCCCTGTCTGAAGGTGCTCAGGGACATCAGCATGAGGAGACCCTGTTAAAGCTGCATCAGGGCTCGGGGCCAGAGATTGAGACCCACAGACTCGATGGTGGACGTTCACCACCAACCAGAGAGCTCACCAACCGGAGCCAGTGTTAACGCCCAAAGAATCTGCTCGCTTGAGAATCTGCTCGCTTGAGATCGTGCTTGCTTGTCTGTCTGGGTTAGACTTGAGGGACGTGAGCAGTTGGTCAGTTCTTTTTTTTTGGTACCGGGAATCGAACTCAGGACCTTGTACTTGCCAGGCAGGCGCTGTGCCACTGAGCTACATCCCTGGCACGTCAGTTATATTTTGAAGCCTCGATTATTCATGTTGTGTGTTTTTATATTTTCCCTAGATATTCCAGATTTAAGAAAATAGATCCCCCCCCCCACTGGATGTATGTCTGAGCTAACTTGAGCTTCAGTAATTTGAATGTTGTCACTAACTGAATTGTCTCCTGTTTAAGGGTTAAAGGCCCCCAAACTTAGCGTGTTACGTGCCTGCCCCCGTCCAGCCTCTCAGTCCGGCCTTCTCTGTCTGCTGAACCCTTTATTTGGAGAGCTGAATCACTCTCTCATGCATTTTTTTCCCTGTGAGCCAAAAAACTAGGTTTTGCCAAAATTAAGTAGGTCTTGCATTCCGAGAGGCTGGGAGCCGCTTTGAGTCTGCAGCGCGTGACCGTCACGGGGCTTCTCCGGGCTGGAGGCCTCCTGCGCCGGGCTCCCCCGGCACCTGCCGTGTGGACACCCAGGGCCACGCCCGTGGGCCGGCTCACTTGGTTTGTCAGGTTTATTTGAAAATTTAGAGGTTGTGTTTTGTTCCTTGTTAATTTAAAAAAGAAAACTTTCCCATCTCTTCGAGCAGTTGATGTGCTGCATGTGTGCTTTAAGATAGCAGTGCTCCGCGGTGTTTGTATTCCGTTTCCTTCTGAGTTGTGTTTTCTTGGTTTATTTCCTTTTACTCCTTGGGTACTCTGCACTTCGCCATGTCGAATTAGAATTTTGTAATTTCATTTTTAAAAACAGGCACTTAGCAAGACATCGCTTGTGTGGCACCTAGCTTTATGCTGCTGATAAATGATAAACATTCATAAGAGATACTTTAAACAGATGATGTGGTAAATTTTTGGGTCATGAGGCACGGAATGTTTGTTGGCTCTTAGTTGGAGAAAGGAAGAGAAGGAAAAACAGAGAAAGTTCTGTGGGACGTTTCCCTTACTGTGGCTGGCATGGGGACACTTCACGTTTTATCCGGCTGAAGCTCTGGAGAGAAGTGTGGGCTGTAAGTGGTTTCAGCATTTTTTGTTTGTGTGGCTGGTTGCTTTTTGAAAATTTAGAGGTTGTGTTTTGTTCCTTGTTAATTAAACAATTTAATTGTTAATTAAACTGTATAGGGTCTCCCTATGTAGTACAGGCTGGCCTTGAACTCACTGTGAGCCCGGGCTGGCCTGGACTTCACAGTGATCCTCCTGCTTCAGCCTCCCCAGCGGCGGGATTAGGGGTGTACACCACTGTGCCCCGCTTTGCACTTAGGTTGGTGCACGGAAGAGCCACGTGCTGAGCTGGGGTCCCTCAGCATGGGCACCTGTAGCTCTCACAGCGGAGGAGTGGGTGAGCGCAGGTGCTTGTCCCAGGCGAGGGAGTAAAGGCTCAGAGCAGCCGTGCCACTGACCTGGGGCCACGCAGCTAAAGAGTGGCAGCTTCAGAACCTGTACCCAGGCTGTGAGTCCGGAGCCATCCTCCCTCCGAGCACAGCCCGGGGCCCGTGACACATGGCGGCCATGGCAGGGTCCGGGTGCTCCGCATCCCAGCGGGACTTCCCTTGTTCCTCTGGTTTTTACCCATTGTACGTGTCTCTGTTTTTAATTTTCTTGGTGTCCGTCCCTGTTTGCAGGACACAGGGCCACATCCCCCATGCAGTTGTGCCCGCACGTGGCCACGTTGGTCCTTTCCCGTCCCTTCCCGCTGCACCGTAGCCCTGGGGTGCATGGGGACCGGCTGGCGCTGACAGCCCTCATGCTGGCGAGGAGGTTGCTCCTGCCGCGGCGGCTCCTGCTCACAGGTGCACGGTGAGGCCCACCACCCTGAGCCCACAGCCTTGAATTCCAGTGTGAAAGGGCCCTGCTGTGTGACCTGGAGAAGGTCAGTCCCGGGGCAGCCTAGGCTCCTTGTTTGGTCGCTGGGAGTCGGCGGGCCGGCTGCCTAGACGATGCCAGGCTCTGCCCGGCTCAGAGCCTCCTGACCCCCAGGATCCAGGGAGCCCGTGCATCTCCATCCCCACCTCGGGCCTGCCTCCGCCTACCCCTCTTTTCTTTCCAAGCCTGGGGATTGAGTCCAGGGCCTTCACACTGAGCCACAGCCACAGCTCTTTATTTTTTATTTTGAGATAGGGTCTCATTAAAGTGCTAAGTTGCCCAAAGTGTGCTGGAACTTGCAATCCTCCTGCCTCAGCCTCCCAGCATGCTGAGATTACAGGCGTGTGCCACCTCACCCCACTCACCGTGGCCCCTGGGAACCCTGTTCCCTCGGATCCTGGGACAAGCCCTGTGCTGCCTGCCCAGTCTTGGGTGTCCTCCTGCCCTTTGCCTGGTGCCACCCAAAACTGGCTTGGTGTCTGGGGGTCCTGCCTTGCTCTCTGGCAGTCCCCATTGGGTCTGGTGGTCTTCCCCAGTCGCTTCCCAGCCTCATTCCTGATCCCTTGCTCTCTACATCGGGCGGCCCCGTGTCCCTGGAGAGGCAGCTTCGGGGCTGGGCAGCGGGTGCTGAGTGAAGGCATGAACGTGGGAATCCCCTCCTGGACACTGGACGCGGTTGTCACCTAAGTCTGGGTCCCCTTGGTTCCACGCAGCACTCACGCCAGCGGTGCGGCTTTCTGTGCCTCCTCCTCCTCCTCCCTCACTGCTGCTTGTGCCCAGGAATACTGCCATGGCACCTGTGGGGGCCACGGCCTCCTCACCCGTCCAGGTCACTGTGTCCCTGCCTCCTCCCTCCTTCCCACCGTGGCTGCTCATCTGAGCTGCTCGTCCGGCTGCCCACGCCCCCCCCACGTCCCACAGCCTGTCCTGCGGGCACTGTCCCCACCCTGTCCCTGCCACATACCCTGCTCCCGGGGATATCCTACCCCTGTGGGCCACGAGCCAGCTTGGTGGCAGCACCATGATGGCCCCCGGCCACAGGTGGAAGCTGGTGCCTGATCTTCAGTGACCCGTGGGTGGACCTCCTCCCCAGCCCGCCTCTCCGTGCCAGGCTGCCAAGGACGGTGCTGCCCACGAGCAGTTAGGAGGCTCTCTGCGCTGTGGTGAGGTGAACACTCCCCAGCAGAGAGCTCCCCTGCCCTCGGGCTTGCTGGCCGCTTGTCCTTCTGCCTTGGCGACAGCCCTGGGAGGTTCTCACTGGCCCAGGAGCTGCTGTGTGAAGTGCTCCTGGGTGTGCTGTCTTTCCGCTTTGGTTTGGTTGGGTTTTTGCAGTGCTGAGCTCGACAGAGGGAGTGAGTGGACGGAGCCAGGAGCCTTCTCAGGGCCTTGCGGAGGGTGCCCAGGGCCAGGCTGTAGCTCAGCAGCAGGGCGCCTGCTGAGCATGCGAGGCCCTGGGTTCTGTCCCCAGCGCTGCGGAGAGGCTGTCACTCTCAGACCTCTGTGCAGACGCTGAGTGTCAGGCCACCTCTTTTGCTGGGCTGTGGCTGGAAAAGTGTGAGATTTACGTTCGCCTCTGGAGGCCCTCCGAGGTCTCATGCTCACCTGAATATTAGCAAATATGAGGGCTGATCAAAATACGTGATCATTGTTTAAATAAAATTTGATTGCAGTAAGAGACACTTTGCCACAAAGGCCCCTCAAAGTCCTCACCCCCACTTTAACACACTTATCCGTCATCCTTGCCACTTTCTGAAGCGGTTCTAGAATGTCTCTTTTGAATGTGTACCGTGTAAAAATACAGTGAATGCTACTGCCGAGCGCCATCTTACGGAAAGGCGGGCTCGTAGAGGCACCGTGGTGTGTCCTTCTCTTAAGTTCCCGTTGCTGCGACAAAATACCCAGCACCCACAGGTTACAAGAGGACAGGTGTATTTGGCCGCACAGTTTGTGGAGGTTTCAGTCCAAAGCCAGCGGAGTCCAGGGCAGAGGAGAAATAGTCCGTGGCAGGGCAGCAGGACGCAGGGAGCCATCCAGGGAGGAGGGAGATAGACCCTTCGAGGCCACGCCCACAGTGACCCCCCTCTTCCCACCAGGCTTCACCTCCCAGCACCACACCCAGCTATAAAGCCGTCCGTGGACTAACCCAGTGCCACACGCCCATGATCCAGTCAGCTCCCCGGGACCCCACCTGTGAGCACACGAGGCTCCAAGGGAGCGTCTAGAAATAAGCCGTAATAGTCCTCACTCACCTTAGTCACAGGATCTGGCACCGTGCGACTCCTGGCTCTTCCCCAAGGTCAAAATGACCGGGAGAGGTCGATGTTTTGAATCAGATCAGGACATCGAGATAGCCGTAAGGCAGTGCAACTAAAGACACTCAGGAAAGAGGACTCCAGAGCTGCTGCAGAAAGGGGCAACACCGAGGGGATAAGTGTGTCTGAAGCAGCAGGCAGGATTTTGAAGATTACAGGTCTGTCTTTTACTGTAAGAAAGTCCTAAAAATCTGAGCATCTGCTGTCTTTTTTCCACCACACCGCACAGGTTTGGACTTCGGTTGGAACTGCATGGTGTTGGGAACTGGGGCTTTAGGGCTGAGTCCCACTGGCCCGTGCCAGCTCTGCCGACCCATTTCCCAGGCATGTGAGTTTTACTAAGCTGCGGGCTTCCTCCGCAACCTCAGCCTCCCCGCTGTCACGTGGGATGAGGACAGTGCCTGCCTCCTGGTGACTGCCGGGACAAATGTGAGACTGTGTGACAGCTCCGAACACCGTGTCTGGTGTACAGAAGAGTCTCAGCGCTGAGCTCTTCAGCGTACAGAAGAGCTGCCCGCATCTCTGAGGTTCTGGAATTCACGTGCTCATCCCTGCAGCTCCGGTTGTGCAGGTGCTGTTGCAGTGGGGCCTGTGCAGCTGCCTTCCCCACCCCTCCCTGGGCGTGGGCCACTGGCCAGCGCTGCACCCAGGTCAGCAAACCTGTGTCCCAGAGGAAGTGTGAGTGAGTACAGTGAATCCAGTTCCAAGGACTCCCCGTCACAGGCTTTGTCCTGGGTGGGTGACAGGCCTCTTGTAAGTGACGCTGCTCCCCAGGGTGATCATCATAGCAGATGGAACCCGGGGTGCCTTGCATGGCGGCTGGGAGATGCAGCCTTCAGAGAGGGCAGGTCCGGGCGTGATACAGCAGCGTCCCACCGCACATGGCCATGTGAGAAGTAGCTGCTGCGTGTCGCTGATGCTGGGGCCACCTAGGTGGACAGTGTCCTGGGTGGCGTTCTCGTGACATAGGGCACACGTCAGCAGACACTGAAGAACTCAGGTGGCCTGTGCGCCTTGCGGGGTGTCCAGGCCCGGGGGGGTTGTCATAGTTTATAGTCACATGTCCCTTAAAGCTTCAAGTCGTCACGGCAGCACCTTCGGGTGCCGATGGGGGTATAGTTAGAGCTGCCTTGCTGTTGTGTGGCCTGGTCAGACACGGGTCACTGCTCCTCCGCCCCACTTCCTGTCCGCCATGCTGAGAGCGGCTCTCCTCCGCCAGGCCCCTCGGCCAGGCCGTCCTGCCCTGCGTCAGAGCCAGCTGACGGGGCTGAGTCCTCGAAAAGCCTCGACCCAAGATGAACCTCCTCTAAATTGCAGGGGTGGAAGTGACTAGGACCCGGGTGGGCCCCGAGCGTGTTGACACCTCGCAGGTCTGCGAAGGCTGTGGATACAGATATGGGGGGATATTTCCAAGTTAGGTAAAGGAATGAACGAATTAGCAGAACAGAAAGTGTCCTCAGACCTGAGGGGCCAAAGCGTAAGGGTCAGTCTCCAGGGGGCGGTGTGGCAGACCCGTGAGGTTTGAGGATGTTAGGGCCAGCACAGGCAGGGTCAGCAGCCGTCTGTGGCCACGTGCCGCCCTCTGCCTTTTCCACGGAGAGCCTTGTTGGGAGGCAGCCCCATTCGTCGGGTCCGTGTCCTTTCAGCTTCCTCGCTGCAGGCGCAGCAGTGAGTCGTGGGGGCCATGTGACTCAGGCCAGCGCCTTACAGAGCACGTGCGCCCCAGTGTGACGCGCGGCCTTCGGTCTAACCCGGTCACATCCCCGAGTGCAAGCGTCATGTCAGACAGACCCTGTCCCCGGCCGCACGGCCTTGGGCAGGCAGCCTCACGGCACACGCCTCAGCTGCTTCGTCTGAAAACGGAGTGAGCGATCGAACCTGCCGCGCAGGCTCGCAGAGCTCAAGGGGCGCCGCGTGGACGCCCTCAGCGCTGCCGGGGTGTCAGCTGCGGTCAGAGGCCGGGTGGTGGCAGAGGACGCTGCTCAGGGTGGAGGCCACAGCTGTGAGCAAAACCCCGCTCCTGCCGGCGCGGCTCGGTGACGGGGAGAGGGGCTCGGTGACGCCACGGAGCAGCACTGCTCCTGCCCGGCGGCCGTGCAGCCCCACAGAAGGGACCCAGCCCCCTCACCTCCGGTGTTTCATTGCCATCCCTCGGGACGGTTCTGCCAGGGTTGCTGTGAACTGGGAATTTGGGTGCATCTCCCTGCCTTGTCTCATTCGTCCGCTCATTCACTCGTCCGCCCGGAGTTCGCTGCGCCCTGGTCTGGGCTGGGCCTCTGTGTGCCCACCAGTGTCAAGGACACGGGGGGCTTGTCACCACGCTGCCTTCCTGGCCTGGGCCAGTGCTGCTCAGCTGTGAAGGGCGAGGCCAGGGCGGAGGGGACCCCAGGGCCTGCACTGACCTCATTCCGCCGTGGCTGCTCCTGGGGCGTCCGAGGGAGGCAGTTGGTTCCGCGGTGCCCCACAGAGCGGCCCCGGTGTGACTCGGCTTTAACCTTCCGCTCTGTCTCGGTCTCGCTTTCTAAGCGATGCCCGGACAGGATACCCCGCCACCTCAGGGACACGCACTTCCTAGGGGGACGCTCGGGGCTGGCCTTTCCCCACGACAAACGTTACTCGCTGTTCTGTCGCTTCTCCCTGCAGAACGAGATGTGCCTGGCTACCCGGCAGCTCTCCAAGCAGCTGCTGGCCTACGAGAAACAGGTAACAGCGGCCCTGCAGGCGAGGCAGTGGCCCCGGTGCTTGGGGAGAAGCGAGGCGGGTGCCGGGGGCTGGGCTCCGGTCTTGGCGCAGAACTCGTGCATTCAGGTAACACCTGGCCCTTTCCTCCTTCGCTCTTAGAATTTTGCCCTTGGCAAAGGCGATGAAGAAGTCATTTCGACGCTGCACTATTTTGCCAAGGTGGTGGATGAGGTAAGAGAGGAACCTGGGAAGTTTCTGGCTGTGGCCCTCTCGTTGCCAGCAGCCTGGTGAAATATCTGAGCTGTCTTGAGTTGTCGCTGCCAACCACCCATGCGTTCTCCACAGACTTGCTCTTGGGGTCCACGGTCCCACGCACGGCCAGGGTGTATTATCGCAGTTCTTATAGCTGTATTGTGTAATACGTGCAGGGTAGTGGAAAAACCCCGGATGTTACCGGAAATGTGCGCACATCTTAATTACAAACATCACGAGAGCGCAAGTACTATTGGTGCCTGGCAGAACGCTGCAGAAGAAGGTAGGTAGTTTCCATTTGTAAGGAGTTTGCAGTGTGTACTTAGATTAGAAAATCATAACAGAGAGGCAGGACAGAAAATGCAGGCGCCACTCGACTGTCCCACTTAGTGAGCAGAGTGAGGCCCTGGCATGAGTATAAAGTTGTACTTACATTCGTTCAGCAAATAAGTTAAGCAATCCATTACTCATTCAACAAACATTTGACCACCTATTACTAATCAGACTCTAGAGGTGGAACTAGAAGAACAAATAAGTCTCCAGTTTTTACTGAGCCTTGTCCCCCGGGGTGCTAGGAAGGAGACCAGCTGTTTCCCGCTCTGTGGCTGTGTTCTCACACTCAGCATGCTCGGTCCCCGCGTGGGTCACCACTGTGACCCCATGCTGACACTGCCTACCGGGAAGAAACCTGAGATCTCCGAGTTAAGGGCTCGGCCCCTCAAGACTGCCCAGCCTCAGGTGTCGGCTGCAAGGCCCCTGTGCTTCTGACTTCTTGAGTGGGGGTTGGAGCTCGCTGAACTCAGCACAGACTCGGGGGCCCAGGGGTGCCTCTCAGTGACGGCTTGAGCTGGTGCTGACCAGTGCCCACCCTGAATCCCCCTAGAGCTGCTGCCAGAGGGTACTCCTGCCCCCCAGGAGGTCCCAGGGTGTCACGAGCTCCGTGCCGGGAACTGGCCCCAGAGGCCAGATATGGGGACAGAGGATACTCCTGGACCCCTGCTGCTAGGAAGTGGCGGGGTGAGGCGTCCAGGCCAGGAAGCGGGAGGAGACCAAGGCGCACTTCCCCGTGTGTCACTGTCCACCCCGCCCCGGCTCTGGGAAGTGTGTGCTGCCCTGGATGGAGGACGAGGAGGACGTGTAATCGTGGAGCAGCTGGAGGATGCTGGTGGGCGGGAGAAGAAGTCTTCTCATTAGCAGGGAGTGAGGACCCGAGCCTCGGCGGGCTCCCGCGCTGGTCTCAAGGAGCCGAGGCAGGGTGGCCCTCGTCAGAGCCCCGGCGCTGAGCTGCCCTGGGATCTGCACTCGTGACCCGATGATGACTTCTGGTGGGGGTGAAGCTGGCCGTTAGTGGATTGTCACAGGCACTGCGATGAGGGGGCCTTGACCTAGGGCGAGGAGAGGAGCCCTGGATCAGGTCGGAAAAACTCCAGGACAAATAACGCCAGAGTTAAAGAATGAAGCAACGGAAGTGGAGGTCGACGTGGCTCGTGTTTAATGGGCCGTGTTGTCCTCGTGAGCCGCGGCAGGCTCTGTGGGTGCGGAGCCGGGGCTTGCTGGGGGTCACTTCTTGGCGCAGACCTGAGTCACGGTCACGGGCGTTGCCTCCGCCCTGCTCTGTCGCCCCCTGTGCTCAGGGCAGCCGTGCGGGAAGAAGGCGCGGGACGCCCCAGGGCACTGGTGGAGGGTGGCCCAGGCTCGTCCCTCCGGAGCAGCAGCCCCACAGCGAAGGCGGACGGCAGCCCTGGATCCTAGGGAGGAGACTGGGAGGAAACAAGCGGCAGCGGGCAGGGGTACCCCGGCAGAAGCGCATGACCCTGGAAGCCACCTGAGCCCGTGTTTTGGTGTCTTTGCCTGTAAGCAGCGGCGGCAGCAGGAAAGCCTGTGCGCCGTCCCCCAGCACCGAGCGCAGAGCCCGCACACGGGTTGTGACGATCATTCTGGAGCCTCGCGGGAAGCTGTCGGGAAGGAGGACGTTCACACCTGTCGTGCCAGTGGCTGGACTGGCATAAGTTGAGCACAGCGGGTCTCTGAGCTCAAAGCCTGTGTGGCCACAGCCCTGGAGGGCACAGCTGGGGTGAGGTGGGGTGCAAACAGGAGGCCATGTCACCGCCTGGAGGCCCCTTGCCGCACGCTGACCCCCGTGTGACTGCAGGCGATGCCCCTCAGGTGCCAGGCGGGACTCCCCAGGCACATCCCCCACCACCAAGTTCCTCGTTCCACCCAGACCCCTGGAGGCCCAAAGCCTCACGACAGTGCCACGTGCAGGTCTTCGTGGTCATGGGGGCGTGGATCTGAGACCCAGATAGGGTGTGGAGCTCGGCTGTGCCCGAGCTCGCAGAGTCTGTGCTGTCCGTAGAGGGGACGGCAGAGGCCGCCTCCTTGCAGAGCAGTGTACAGAGTACCCAGGACAGTAGCAACCGAGGTGACTGTCCTCCTCCCCCTGAAGCCATTTGTAGAGCCGGCACTTTGCAAGCCCGTGAGGTGGACAGAGAGGCCATGAGCAGTAGTGTTGCCCGAGCACCATCCCTGAGCTTGGCCGCTGTCGCCACCCACAGCCCACATGCCATCGATGGCCCACGCTGCCCCGTGACGCGGCCTCTTCGTGACCGCGGACAGCAGCCTGGCAGAGCCAAGCGCTGCCCGCAAACAGCCTCCGGCTGCAGGGCGGGGCGGCTGCTGAGAACACAACTGGTTTGGCTTGCACAGCAAACAAAGGGGCTTAGAGACGCCTTGAGCAAGCTTTGCCGTGCCCCGGCACCTGGAACCTGGCGGTTCTTTTTCTCTTTACTCTTCTACACCCCTCCCCTCCCCTCCCCTCCCTTTTGACTTTCACACTGAGCTACATTTCCAACCTTTTTTATTTTTTTACTTAGAGACAGGGTTTTGGTAAGTTGCCAAGTTGCCCAGGCTAACGTCAAACTTTGATCCTCCTGCCTCAGCCTCTGGAGTGCTGGGACGACGGTGTGTGTTCCCAGCCCGGCTCGTGTCACATGTCAGCGCCTCTCGTCCTGAGCCCTGTGCTTCGATGACAGGGCTTCTCTTTGCCCAGGAAGCCTGGCAGAGCTGTTTAACCGCAGCAGGTGTCCGCGCGGCCCTTGGTGCCGTGAGGCCACCTCACCAGGGGCATGCGCAGCTCGCCTCAAGAGAGTTCTCTTCCTTTCAGCTGAACGCTCTCCACACAGAGCTGGCCAAGCAGCTGGCGGACGCCATGGTGCTGCCTGTCATCCAGTTCCGGGAGAAGGACCTCACAGGTAGGCATCAGCGCCCACTGCGTGCCCTTCCAGAGCACGAATGCCTTCAGCAGTTGCTGCTGCGAGCTCTTCACGTGCGGGGCCCCTGAGAGGCAGCCTCAGTTCGGCGCGCTGCCCCACCCCGTCCCTGGTCACACAGAGGAGTTCACAGGCGGGTGCGAAGACAGACTCGGCGGAGCCGTCTCACATCCCCCGGGGCTGCAGGTGGAGGTGTGCTGGGGCGGGAAGAGCAGGAACGCGGTTACTTTTTGGACCAGGTGCTAGGAAGGCCTCCAGGAGGAGGAGCCCGAGTGTGGGGTGGCGTGTAAACGCCTGCCAAGGGGAAGTCAGGGACGTCAGCAAGGCGTGCTGCCCTGGGGGACAGTGGTGCTTTGGAAAGTGCGAGGTGCGGTGACACATGGCCACTGAGCTCCCTCCGAATCCGCCGCTCTCCTCGAGCTCACCGAGCGCCCTGTGCTTGCCACTGTCTGCGGCAGTTGGCAGTTTCTGTCAAAAGCATCGTGCTGTGTCCTCACCCAACTCACTCGCTGCATCTGCCACCGTGGGACTTGCGGCCCCTCCCCAAGCCAAAACGAGCATGAAAGGGGACATTTTGAATCCGTTCAGGACGGGAGGCAGCCAGGACAGCGCAACTAAAGACGCTCAGGAAACAGGGCTCCAGAGCCGCTGCAGGACGTGCGAGGACATGGGATGCGTGTGTTTGAGGGGAGGATTTTGAAGGGGATTCATAACACTGCCTTGCACTGTAGTAAAATACTAAAATTGAACTATTCACTGTGTTTCTGACCCCGCCTGACACGGTGGGAGGCTTGGCGGGAGGCTGGGTGGCCGCGCTGTCTGTGCCACTCTCCAGGTGTCCTTGTCACCAGACAGGCGGCCACCTGGGTGAGTCGGGATCTGTGACTGCTTCCCAGAGCCGGCTGGCCTGTGCAGCGCCTTTCAGTTCTTCAACTAAAATAAAACTTCAGGACAATTTTATATCTCTTGGAAATCAAAGTAGTCAGAGAATGAATGTAAAAAAGAACTAATCTTAAAAAAATGTTAGAAAAAGGGAACCCAGACTTCTTAATCTTACTGTTCTTTCTTATTTCATGGGACGTGTTCCTTACCTAGAGAGTAAAGAACTGTATTTGAAGCCAGGCAGGGTGGTGCATACCTGTAACCTCCGCTCTCGGGAGACTGAGGCAGGAGAATCACCACAAGTTTGGAGGAGGCTGAGGCAGGAGGATCACAAGGCCAGCCTGAGCTACATAGTGAGTTTAAGGATAACCTGAACTACATAGTGTCTCAAAAATAATCCCAAAAAACAAACTATGACTGCAGAAGCCTTCAGCCCAGCCCTAGAAGACCCATTCAGTACTGGGCTTCTAGGTAGAAAAGCTGCAGGTACCCAGGGTACCTGTTGAAGATGGAGTTTGCCCTAGGCTGGGGCATGGTTCGAGGGCAGAGGTCCTACTGGCAGTTCACGGTGAGAGCCCCAGGCCTCCCCACGCTGGTGTGCAGAGCCGGCCGGAGCAGGAGGCGGGCTTCTCCCTGTGCTCCCTTGTTGGTGACACACACGGAGCCCAGACCCACCGAGTGCCAGCTGGGCCACCCCCCGTCCCACCTGCAGTCTAACCCTGTGCTTGTGGAAAGACTTTCTGCACGCGGTCTGCAAGTGTGCGGGGGTCGTTCTCAGAGCATCCCTGAGCGGGCAGGGCCAGGTTGAGTCCGCAGCCAGGCCGCCAGCAGACACCTGGCATCCGGGCACACACCTGGCCGTGGCTGACGTCATCCCTCAATGCCCAGAGTGGTGATTCTTTTTTGTTGAGAAGGGTTTCTTTGAATAGTTCAAGCCGATGTTGAACTCACTGTGTAGCCCAGGCTGGCCTTGAACTCTTGGTGATCCTCCTGCCTCAGCCTCCCGAGTGCTAGGATTAGAGGCGTGTGCCATCATGCCCATGCACAAAGGCAAGTGGAAAAGAACACGGGTTCAATGCTTACTGTGTTCGACAGAGAGTAGGTGGTGTTAGTGCTGTAGATAATACCACGTTTCTTCGGGGATCTGTCTGTGTTAAGTTCCCTCCCTCCCTGTGTGGGGATGGAACCCAGGGTCTTGCGTGTGCTAGGCCCATGCTCTGCTGCTGAGGGACATTTTTGGTTTTCTTTTGTCATGGTTTGGTTTGTTCGAGACAGGCTTGGTCGGAATTGCCAGGCTGACCTTGAACCTTCGATCCTCCCATCTCAGGCTCCCACGAGGCTGGGATTACAGGCATGCACCACCCACCCAGCCTGCTGTTTTTAATCTCGGGCGTTTATTGCTCTCGTGACCTTGTTGTCGTGGGTTTATTAGGCCGTCATTGTGCGTGATGGGTGTCGCACCCCTGTTGGGTAATGGGTTGGCTTGTTGCGTGTAGGCTGTGCCGAATTGTGTCACAGTTGTCCTTAGCGCACTGCCTGCACTCCTGTCCGTCTGGGTCCCGTCCTGACTGCATTCCTGGGACAGACGGTTAAGATCCTCGTGCAGGGGTGGAGACTCAGAGCTGAAGTTTATCCCCCGGTCGCCGTGGCACACCTGGCCACCACGCTGCCTGCCTGTGTCCCCATGGTGCCCCTCCTTCCCAGGGCGGGCCGGGGCATGGGTGTGAGGTGAGGGCAGGAGTCGGGTCACCGGGCCAGGCCCGGCGGAGAGAGGGCCGGAGTGGCCCTGGGCAAAGGCGGCGCGCGCCCACCGACTCGGAAAGTGGAGTTTTATTTTTCTTTGCTCTAAGCTGTTCTCTTTTCCCTTGTGCAGAAATAAGCACTCTGAAGGACCTCTTTGGACTCGCCAGCAACGGTAGGCCTCCCACTCCTGCCGCGGGCCGGTGGCGGGGGCGGTCCTCGCCCGGCCCTTCCCAGCCGCCCTCCTCTTCCTGTTTTTAGACCACGACCTCGCGATGGCCAGGTACAGCAGGCTTTCTAAGAAGAAGGAGAACGAAAAGGTGAGCAGGCCGCACGCCGGACCGTTCACCTGCGCCCTCGGGCGCCCTGTGAGTTCGCGGGCGCTGGGCTGCCTCACATTGCTTCTGGTTCTCTGGATCCCCCTTAAAGTTATTCTGCATCTCGAGGAGGCTTCACTTCTCTATCCTGACTTTCCAACCCGCTCTGTTGAAGGCAGATCTGGAGCCTGTCGAATGACAGTCCCACGGGGACTTGACTGTCCGCCTGGGGCTCCTTGCCCAGGGGCGCTGAATCTTCAGCCCCTGGTTTCTGGGTGCTGGGCGGCAGTAGAGAAGAGCGAGTATCCCCATGCATAGAACTTTCACTTCTGCTCCTTGCTTCCTGGGGTCAAAGCGTCTCAGAGTCCAGTCTCGTTGGTGAACCGCGCATGTATGGCTTCCAGGGCTGGCCGCCCGGGGTTCTCCTAACACAGGGTCGCGCTGTCACAGCCACCAGGAAGCTGCTGGCTTCCGCTGGGTGCAGCCGCACAGACTCGGAGCTGCCATTGCTCCGGGATTTTGGATTTTCAGTTAGGAATTTCTTTAAATTTGAGATGCAACCTTAAATGTTACGGTGTTTGTTCCAAAAATGGCTGTAATGAATATGCAAACACTGTCCAGTGGCATGCTCCTGCAGCATTATCACGAGCAGACAGCCTGACACACACCCTCTGCTCTGAATCAGGCGAAGGCCGAGGTGGGGAAGGAGGTGGCGGCTGCGCGGCGGAAGCAGCACCTGTCGTCCCTGCAGTACTACTGTGCCCTCAACGCGCTGCAGTACCGGAAGCGGATGGCCATGCTGGAGCCCATGATCGGCTTCGCCCACGGGCAGGTAGGCACCGGCAGGAACTGAAGCATTGTCACTCAGCAAGACACGTGCTTCCCAATGGTCAGCACTCTGGGGAGCTTCCAGCCGGGCCGGGCCATCTTGGCCGGGCCATCTTGACTGGCCATGTGAGGCCATGTGCTCTGGAAGTGACGGTCACATCCCAGGCTTCCTTTGTCTCTGATCCAAGTGAAGGCGGAGTCTGGTTCAGGGTTCCCGGAAGCAGCTTCAGGCTCAGGCTGGGAGACCGGCGTACGCCCCGGGCTGTGCGGTGCTGTGCTCTCCGTGTGTGGCCAGGCCCTCCCTGAGGGGCTGCTCCCTGTCCATGCGTCCCTGAGCGTCCCACCCCTGGAGCACCGCGCCGTGTCACCAGAGCTTTGCAGGCTTCTGCAGAGAACACTGGCTTCCTCCCCCCGACCCAGCGGTCTCCTGACTGTGTAAGGCAGGCTCCTTACACGGTGGGGCTGCGCTTGAGCGTGTCTGGCTGCTGGGCCCACCTTTCCCGACTGGGCTCCACGGTGCTGGTCCCAGAGCTATAGTTGGCCCATGAGAAATGGACCCAGAACCGGCTCTCACTGGATGCTCGAGGGACAGAAAGGGGTGCGAGGAAGGAAAGTGTTGATCAGAATGAAATCGCCGCTTTTTGAAGCCCATGTAACAACATCTTCCATAGCGAAATACTTATATTTCAAAACGAGCTGCTCCCTTCCATGGGGGTGGGGCGGGCGCAGAGGACCCTCAAGCGTCCGCGCCCAGCTGTGTGAATGTGCGGGGTGTGGTCACAGGGAGCTCAGTGCCGTCGCGTGTGCCTCGGAGGGGATGTTTAAACAGGGCAGTGCGGCCCTTCTGAGTCACTGAGTGGAGCCGGGTTGCACCCTCAGGGGCCCGGCAGCGCCCTCACGGTGGGCACTTGGGGCGGGCACTGGCTGGTCTCCTTTCTTTTCGGGTGACACACCGCACCCCGACCCGGGTGCTCCTGGCTTTGCTACAGAGCGGTGCTGTCTCTGGTTAAGTCCTGCCGTGCGCGCCCTCCCTGGGTCGACCGTCCCTGCCTTTAGCCAGGCCCGGAGGGAGGGAACGGGATTTCGTGTCCCAGAAGCACACAGGCTGCAGCGTGACCATTCGCTGCCCAGAGCGTGGCTGGTGGGAGCAGGGACCTCACAGTCCCAGGGGACAGCTTTGCGGCCAGCTGGCTCCATCTTGCAGCCAAGGACTACGCCGCTTGTCCCAGCCCAGGCTTTTCCAGCGGGTGCAGCTGGCCAGGGAGACAGCGCACCCTGTGGGACCCGCGCCCCGCCCTCTTTGCTGGCAGCCGGCTCGGGCGCTTGGAGGACGGAGCAGGGCACGTTCTGGTTCTCCTGTAGGAAGTGTCCAGATTTCAAGACTAGGGCCAGTTGGTCCCTTGCCCTGCGGAGTGTTTAAATCCTGCCGCAAACCGCAGTCCTTTCCTCAGGGAGGGTTGTGGAACACCGTGAGACTCGCAGATGGTGCCGAGGCGTTTGCTGCCCTCCTCCTGGCCCGTGGAGTTGGGGTGTCCTGGGCCCCCACCTTTCTGAGAGGGTAGAGACTGACTTGGCTGCTCCATACCACTGGCCGCAGGGTGGTGCGAGGACCCAACCGGCCTGTTGCTCCTCGTTAGCCAGGGTTAGGTGGCACTGGGCCTCAGCCCTGACGCTGCCGGCCGAGGTGTGCTGATCATGTGTGTCCAGGCTCTGAGCACATAAACGTGAACCCGCTGTCACACTGACAGGGTCAGCACTAGCTGACGCGCACAGCAGCCAGCGCCTTTCCTTCCTCTCATCAGCTCCCCCTAGGGACCAGGCGCGCCCTGCCCAAGCAGCTTACAGAGTTGCAGAAGCCCCAAGCCAGCGAAGCACGAAGGGAGGGAGCCGGAAGCCCCAGGGTGCCCTAAGGCTGATGTGCGTGCTTTGCCGTTCGACAGCGCAGGGACTCAGAGTGGCGTAGACGGCACCAATCTCTGTATGATTCAGAGATCACGTGGCCATCGGCTGCTTTTTCCCTGTGATATCTACCGACACTGGCATCCACGCCTTCCCAGGGTGCCCAGGGAGGTGGGAGGACGTCAGAGCCGTATTGATTATGCCTCCTGCCCTTCGGGTGAGGCCCGTTTCCATGTCTCCGCCGGGGCAAGGTGGACTTCTGGTTCCTGGCGGGCTGTGGCAACGTGAGCGTGAAGCACCTGCCGGGCGTTTGCTCTGCCTGTGACCTCCCACCGCCGGCCGTCACGTGCGCCAGTGCCAGCATCCTGCCCAGGTTTTCTGAAGCTGCGGCCACAGATGAAGGCTGAGCTTTTCCGAGCAGTGGCCGAGGCTGTCGGTGGTGCCGGAAATGTGCTTGTCCCCCTCTTCCTGTGTGCTGCCATGCAGGGGGAGCCAGGTTCCCAGGCTTTCTGGAAAGGCATCGTCTTCCAGGAGTCCAGGAAGGAAGCCTCCCTTCCGCTGGTACCAAACCCAGCAGCTGCAACTTCATTTTCAAACTGCATAGTGCTGAAGAGCCCTGGAGGCCACTGTCGCCTGGCCCAGAAGGCGTCCATCGCAGAACACTGGGGAGCAGGAGTGGCCCTGTCCTTCCTGCACACGACCCCTTGTCCTTGTGGCTTGTAAAGGCCGTTAGCCCGGTGTCCCTCTGTGGCGAGTGTCTCAGCCCAGCCCTCGTCCCACGCACGGCTTGAGTGCGCTGGGTCCCAGGGTGGCCATGGCAGGGAGGTCCCCTGTGAGCATTTGCCACGCACCGCACACCCGCCTGTGCTAGAGGCAGGAAGTCACTGCTCAGCACTTGCGTAGGAGCTGCTGCTGGTCACCTCCAGCACCACGGCAGCACCAGCCCCGGATCCCACATGTGGCTCTTACGTCAGCCTTTCAGCAGCACACCTGTGTCCCCTCATACTTGGGGAGTCCCTCCACTCACGTGGTGGCTCTGTAGAGAGCTACCAGTGGCGAGGACATGCACCCGACAGACACCTGCCGCAGAGAGACACCGGGCTAACGGCCGGTACGAGCCTCTCGCCACGGTTGGCCTCCCACGGCCTCCCACTGCCGGGCCGTGTTTGGGGAACCTGGCGACCATTTCAGGACTTCACCATTGTCTTTCAGATCAGCTTCTTTAAGAAGGGAGCAGAAGTGTTTTCCAGGAGCATGGACAACTTCCTCTCCTCGGGGGCGGACATGGTTCAAAGGTAAGGCGGCCCCGGGTGCCGTCCTGTGTGCCTGCTGCCCTCCCTGCTGCCTGTGCGTCCCAGCACTCGGGAGGCTGAGGCAGCGCTAGGATTGCAGGTGGGCACCGCCACACCGGGCAGTGGGATTCCTTACAGCAAACACTGTGGGCATTGTACAGCTGGGTGCCGTGACCCCCGAGGCTGGGGCCCTGAGTTGGATGATGCAGAGCCAATGGCTCCGTCCCGAAGGCAGGCAGCTTCAGGTGCAGTGAGGGCCCCCTTGCTGCTTCTCAGCAGTGCAGAGTGGCGGGGGCCCGGTGACAGACCTGTCACCGTCTGTGAAGCATCCAGGTGGAGCTGGAAGCAGAAGCGGAGAAGATGCGGATGTCGCAGCAGGAGCTGCTCTCTGTGGACGAGTCTGTGTACACCCCAGACTTGGATGTGGCTGCCCCTGAGATCAACCGGAACCTCATCCAGAAGGCCGGCTACCTTAACCTGAGAAAGTGGGTACAGCGCCCGCCCCTTCTGAGCTCGTTCCTAGGAAGTGGCCCCCTGAGTTCTCAGGGTAGGCAGGGACACTGGGGAGAACACGAACCCCAGCACCCCCAGAGCCTCCTGCCCAGGTACAGGGAGAGTCAGCCCCTGCCAGGGCTCCAGGACGCTCCCCTCTGCAGCCACTCGCAGCTGTTGTCATCTGGGCCCTTTGACTTACTGTCCGAGGGGCCCAGCAGGCCTGGACCACCCAAGGTGGGAAGCCTCAGGTCCACCCTGATGGCGTCAGGCATTGAACCCTGCAGCGGGTGGGCAGGCTCAAGTCTGGGAGTAGGGACTGACACCAAGGTGTTGGGGGTCGTCAGGCTCCCCGGCCAGGCTGAGCCTTGATTTCTCACTCTGACCATAGCCCCTGCTTTAGGTAGTTTTGTCACAAGGAGTGAACGAGGTTATCCTGGTGGGGCGGAAGCCTTCCAGTTCCAGCTGTTGCCATATTTAGGAATTTCCGGGGCAGGGAGGACACCCAGCGCCTTGCACACAGGTCCTCCTTGGCTTTACCGAATTCAGCAGCTGTCTGGGGCCTCCCAGGGGGGTGGGGTACCGGGGAACTGTGGCTCCTTCCCTCTGGCAAAGCCATGCCTGTAGCCTGCAGGGATCATAAACCAGATGTCCCTGTAAAAACCCCACAAACGCTGTGATCTGCCAAGCTCCTGCCTTTCTCCTATGGGTAGTACACAAGACAAGAACAACCTGCCGGCAGAGCACAGCCCGGCTGGCGGGAGCCCTGCACCGGGGGTCGTGGGGCGTCTGTGGGCTGAGGTGACGCAGGCCTGTCCTGCATGCACTTAGCATTGCCCTGGGCTGGCACTGCTGGTGGGAGCCGTGCTCACAGTCTCCTGGACCATGCAGGCTCCTGTCACCCCAGCGGCAATGATGCGGCCCTGCAGAAAGCGCATTGGCTCTAAACACCAGGCGGCGGCAGGGTGCAGAAGCCCTCGCACGTCCTCCCCGGTGCTGATGGGTGCCTGCCACTCCTTTCCCACAGCAAAACGGGGCTGGTGAGCACCAGCTGGGAGCGGCTGTACTTCTTCACCCAGGGCGGGAACCTCCTGTGCCAGCCCCGGGGCGCCGTGGCCGGCGGGCTCATCCAGGACCTGGACAACTGCTCAGTGATGGCGGTGGACTGCGAGGACCGGCGCTACTGCTTCCAGATCACGGCTCCCAACGGGAAATCGTACGCCTCGGGGGTGCCCCTGGGGACTGCCCAGTGTGGGGCCTGGGAGCTTTGGGGATGGTGGTCTTTTGTGCACGTGCCCCTGCGGGGTGAAGCCCAGCGAGGGTCTTAGGCAGGGAGCCTCCTGTGGAGGAGAGGCGGCCTGCGTGTCTCGGGGGACAGAGGTGGGGGCGTCTCCTCTCCAGGCTGGCAGGGCCGTGTCAGTCCTGCCTCCTCCTGGGGTCCTAGTTGAGGTCCCCGGCAGTTACAGCTCTGGTCTCAGGGTCCTCACCTGTGAGACAGGGATGAGCTCTGTTTCTTGGGTGCCACTGTAAGACTAACGAAGGAATGGAGGCCCTGCCAGAGCTGGGGCGGTGATGCCCCCGTCACCCGCCTGGGCCCGGGCCTCCACTTGCAGACTACTCAGTGCTCGGAAGCGGTGCCCAGGCCCCAGAGGCGGTGGAGGCCAGCAGGGCCACAGGACGCGGTCCCGGCGGGGGGCAGGCCTGGGCTTGGAGGGCAGGGCTCAGGCTTCTCGCTTACGTTGGAGGGGGTGCAGCTCTGGGGGCGCCGGCTCAGCTGGGCCCGAGAGCTGCGGGCCTGACACGGACGTGCTCCTTCCAGGGGGATAATCCTCCAGGCAGAGAGCAGGAAGGAGAACGAAGAGGTAACGAGCGCCCCCTGCCTTTGGTCCCGCTCTCCTCCCTTGCGGCAGCGACTCTGGGACTCAGGGCTTCTCTTCCCTCCGCAGTGGATCTGCACCATCAACAACATCTCCAGGCAGATCTACCTGACCGAGGACCCCGAGGTAAGGAGCGAGTGGCCCCCAGGCCCGGCCTCCCCGGTGTCCCCGCCCAGGCCTGCTGAACAGTGTCGCCCGTGGGTTCCAGGCCGTGGCCATCAGGCTGAACCAGACGGCTCTGCAGGCGGTGACTCCCATCACGAGTCTGGGGAAGAAACAGGAAAGCTCTGGCCCCAGGTAAGGAAGGACAGCGCGAAGTCCGTTGTCCTGGTGATTCTCCTGCCTCAGCCTCTTAAGTGTTGGGATAACAAGCGTTCCACCACACCTGCCAAGAATTTTACTTTTTTTAAATGAGAAAATCATTTTATGTGTCCATATTGCTGCCGGGACCTGCTCTGCACATGTGCTCATATTTTCAGGTGCATTTGCTTTTATTTCCATAGCTACGTTTTAAATACGTCTACCTTCTCTGTAATCGCTTTTTAATCTGACCTCACCCGATGCCATCGCAGGTCGTCCCCCCCCTTGCCCGATGGCATAGTAAAGGTTTCCGCACCACGGCTGCCCTCCGGACTTGAGTCCAGCTTCCGGGTTGATTCTAGGATCCCACCCTGTGTTGCTGGCAGTCTCGGAGGGCTGTGTTCCTCGTCACGCTAACGAAATCCTGGCGTCAAAGGGCAGTTGAAGTGGTGACACAGCTTGGTGTCCATATCTTAGCAGCACAAGAGGAGGGGCCCCTGCTCCAGTGCAACCTGTCAGGGTCACGCAGCTCCCAGGGTGACGCACCCGCCCTGGGTACACGAGGAGGGAGAGAGGCCGGGAGACACGCATGGGCTCGACCAGGCGCCCCGCTCAGGAGTTGCAGGTTTGAGGGGTGACAGTCGTCGCCTGGCTTAGGGGCATGCAGCACGGTGCGGGACAGACTGACAGCGCCGGTGGGGGACGTCAGAGCGTGCGAGCCCGAGCAGAGGGGATAGAAACAGGGACAAGGCGGCGGGGCAGGACAGCTAACTGCGGTCAGGAAGCCACCGTGCGCAGTTTCGCTCTGAGAAAGCACCGTGACAGGAAGTGGAAATCCAGACCCGCGGGGCGCGTCGTGAGTCGGTGGCCTGCCCCGCGCGGAAGGGGACAGAAGCCTTAGTGCATGTGGGGTGGAGACGCCGAGACTGCGGTGGGCCTCGGTGTCCTCCCCAGAGGTGGCCCTCCACGCCCCACAGCTCTGAGGCCACCTCTCCAGGGGACCACAGGACAGGCCCCTCGGCAGACCTCACGTGCCGCTGAGATTAGCTCAGAAGCGGGCTTTTCTGCCTTCCTAGAGCACAGCACCTTCTCGGGCAGGGTGGACTTCACGGGGGACAGAAAACGCCTCCTCGGCGGGGCGCCCAGCCGGGCTGAGCTGACCCAAAGCCCGGGAGAGGCACACACGAGCTGCCAGGTGGCCCCGCGCTGCGGGAGGAGCGGTCCCGGCTCGGGCTCCTGAAGACCGGAGGAATGCTTCGGCGGGGTGGGGAGAGCAGAGCGGGCCGCCTTGTTGAGAACAAACTCCCATTCCCGGGGCGGCAAGCCCGCGAGCCGCTTCCGGGCGAGCGAGGACAGGCAGGCAGGCCACAGGACGTCCGCCCTCGGTCAGAACGAGGCAGGCACCTCGATGATCATGCCCAGGGCGCCGGCGGGCGTGGGGAGCACAGGGGGCCCAGGCCGGGCCTGGCCACAGAGCTTGGGAGGAGACGGAGGCTCTGCTGCAGGGACCGCGGGGGGCGCCCGCCTGCCGGGCGGGAGAGAGCTCTGCGGTCTGCGAGGCGGCCGAGGCCCGGGCCAGGAGCTGGGGCGCGAGGGTCGGAGGGGTGCCGCGGGCGCGAGGGGGGGTGAGATGACCCCCTTCCTCGCCGGGTCCGCCCTCGTGGCTCTGGGCCAGAGCAGCCGGGCTGGGCGAGGGGAGCCGAGGAGGCCCTGGTCTGGATTTGACCTGGGGTGAGAACCCCAGACCGGAGGGAAGCGCAGACGAGGCGGAGGCGAGGGGTGTGCGTGGGGCCCCGCAGGTCTGAGGCCTTGAGTCGTGCGCAGGTGTCCCTGACCCGCCGAAGGCCGCAGTCCAGGCGCGGGAGACGTCTTGTCCGGCGGATGAGCCACGCGCTGGGCTGGAGGAAGGCGACGAGGCGGGGCGGGCTCCCCGGGGCCCCAGCATCCGGAGAGGGCAGAGCCGGGCGGGAGCAGCAGCCCCTGCACACCGGCACCGGTGGGAACCCCGAGGGCCGCTGGAGGGGTCCGTCGGCGCTGACAGCAGTGCCCGTCGCTGGGGCGGCACAGGGCCTCGTGTCCCCCCCCCTTCCGAGTGCCCAGGGGCTCCCCAGGCCAAGGTCAGGCCCCGACTCCCACCGGACGTGACCTGGCCCCACGCTGCCTTGACTGGGTCCCCTCACCTTCGCTGTCCGAGAGCCCGAAACCTGGATGTTCGCTCCCCGAGCGTCCCACACCTGCCCCGTGCGGAAGGCAGTCCAGAGGGACAGGCCCGCGGGGCACGTGCGCCGCTGGGGGGGGGGGCGCCTCCCTTCGCCGGGCGCACGGGTCCCTCTAGCGGCCGCTGTCCCGTGTAACTGCGGCGTTTGAGCGTGTCACCTCCAAGGGTCCCTGCGGAGCTGGCCGCTGGGCTGTGCATGGCGCTTCTCTGTCTGCCTCCCGCCTGGGGGCCACCTGTCACGTAGCTGTCTCACGCAGTACTGTCCGTTATTGACACGTTTGAGAAATACGAATGTATCGGCATAAACATACCCAAGGCACAGAAAGGTAACAGGGCTTTGTGTCGTCCACACGATGGGAGAAGTTAAAATACTGCAATATTCTTTGCCCTGGAGGGAGTTTCCACGCCAGCTGGAGAGAAGAGACGTTAAGAGGTGACGCTTACTGCAGTGCTGTGACCCTGGGAGATGCTCGTGGGTGCCCGGCTGGGCACTGTGACCAGCGCACGCCGTGTCAGGGGCCACTGACACGGAAGAGTGCCCGGGGCGCAGGCGTCTGTGACTCGGGGAAGCCGCAGGGTTCAGTGGGGGAGGAGGAGGCGGCTGTGAGCGGGGCTTGGGCCTGGCAGCGGCAGAGTTGGCTGGCGGTGGAGCTCCAGTGGAGGGGTGTTAGCGGAGGGTTCAGGAAATCAGGGCCAAACTCTGATGAAATAAACGCCAGGCCAGGACGTTTCTCCTCCAGCTGACACCGCTGAGTGCCCACCGCCGCCCCTGCCAGCCGTTACTCTTAGTGATAAATACAATCTGGCGAGTTTCCGGGGAGCGAGTTACCCAGATGGTGTGTGGCGTGACGGGCGCTCTAACACAGCTGTGGGCTGAGCAGGGGACACCGTGGGGGCCCTGAGGGGCTCTGCAGAGGACACGAAGGTTCAGAGCACACAGAGGGCTCGTGCAAGCCTCCCTTGTATTTCCACGTGTACACGGCACAGCATTAAGCAGGCGGTTCTATGTGCTTGCCCATCTCCCCTCCTGTGTTACGCTCCAGCCAGAACCCCACGAACTCAGAGCTCGAGAACGACAAGACCGTCCCCGCGGCAGCAGCCGCGGCTCCTGAGGCCGAGGAGCTCATCGCACCCGGGACGCCGATTCAGTTCGACATTGTGCTTCCCGCTACAGAGTTCCTCGATCAGAACAGAGGCGGCAGGTACGGCCCGGAGGGCTCAGGAGGAAGGGAAGTCGGTTCTTGGGTCCGGCCCACAGCGGGAGACCTGCCTCGTCCTGTGCTGACGCCTGTGTTCCCCCAGGCGGACCAACCCTTTCGGCGAAAGTGAGGACGACACCTTTCCGGAGGCGGAAGGTGAGAGGCCGGCTTGGCGCACTTCCTCCCTCCCCTGCACAGAAGGACGGGCCCTGAGCTAACAGGTGACATGGTGTTAGAGCTCGGAGGAGGGACTGGAAGTGTGGCCCTGGTCTGCTGTTCCCTGCAGATGCAGGCCAGGCGTGGCGAGGCAGGGCTCTACCTGGAGGAGAGCCAAGGGAGCGCGGAGGTTCCTACCTGAGTCCTGTTGGCCACCCCCACTCCCTCTGGGAGTGCCCGCCAGACACGCTGTCAGATCTCACTCAGGCATCCGTTCCTGTACAGCAAAGTCAAGGAGGACAGAACGATCACATTGACACGCAGACTTGAGGGATAAATACGCTGTTTCATTTAGAAAATCACAACCAACATGATCTTGAAGTTAACATGAGTAAATGATAAGTTAATGGTATTCAGATTTAGATTTTGGTGGTTGGATTTGCGGTCTCAAAATACGGAAGAACATGCCCGGTGGAGCTGCCCTTAATCTACCGAATGCAGCAAACTCTCCGTTCCCGGCCAACGCCGGTTCGCCGGTTCGTAGGGAGGAGCGCCCAGCTCCAGACCGGAGCTAGCACGCCCTAGAACAAACTCTGCTTCTGTAAGTCTAAAAACGTTCGTGCAGAGTTTGCATCCCTTAAAGGCTGTAGGCAGAAGCTGTGATGTTTTGAAGTGAAGTGAAGCCATACCTCAGATATGGCCCGGTGTGTTGACCTGCCTTTATTTGCCCCAGTCTACAGAAAACACTTTTCAAACTTGTAAAGGTCCATAAAAAGGAGTTAACTGTGAGTCATTTATTATACTTAGTGCCCTATTAACCCTCGTTTTTAGGGACAGAGGAAAAAGAGGCCCCACAGCTTAAAACGATTGGTAAATACTGTTCCTACAGGGAAAAAGTTTTTCTTCCGTGTTTTCCGTGGTGTCTGTTTGGTTCGGTCACTTGGTTCTGTGAGACCCAGTGCCGTTATCAAGCAGGTTGGCAGTTCGCAGGCAAAGCGCTTCTGAGCGCTCCCGGGTGGAGGAAACGCCACTGCTCCTCGTAGCAGATGCGCTGTCTGCTGAGCCCGACGCCAGGGCTACTCCTGCGCATGCACTTCCTTCCCTAGGGGGCTTGACGGTGGGGAAATGCTGGGTGTCCCGGGGCGTGGTGGGAGCGCTCCTCCTGGGCCTTGGGCGGGTCGCACAGGAACCGGAGGCGGCTCTGTGGGCTGCAGCAGTTCACACGCAGACAGTGCAGGCAGCAGGAGGGCCAGAGCCGGGGGCCCTCCGTCCTGAGCAAGCAAGGGGAGCCCGGAGGCGCGAGCGAGCCTAAGCGCCGCTGCTGTCTCGCAGATTCGCTTCTGCAGCAGATGTTCGTAGTTCGGTTTTTGGGGTCGATGGCGGTGAAGACGGATGGCAGCGTGGAGGTGATTTATGAAGCCATGAGACAGGTGCTGGCTGCGCGAGCCATTCACAACATCTTCCGCACGACCGAGTCCCACCTGATGGTCACCAGCCAGGCTCTGAGGTACTTTCTTTTACTTCCTTTCTTTTTTTTCGGTTTTTGAGACTATGTAGTGCAGGCTGGCCTCGAACTCAGTGATCCTCCTGCCTCACCTCCCAAGTGCCCGGCTTCTGAGGCACCTTCCATCTCACTGTCAGCCCCTTCTGGCTTCACCCCATTCCCGACGTCAGCCACATCCACCCCTCTGGGGTGCGAGCACTCAGGGATCTGATTGGGTTAAATGAAGGTGCTGCTCTTTCTTTTGTAAAAGATGCCCTTAAAGACAAGAACTCACATCACAAAATTCAGTGACCAGTGAGTACATGTTGAGTATCCCTTCTGCAAAATGCTTGAGACCACAAGTATTTCAGATTCTGGGTTTTTTTCCCCCAGATTTTGGAATATTTGCATATATGTAATGATACACCTTGGCGATGGAACCCAAGGCTGAACATGAAGGCCTCGTATGTTTCATGTCCACTTACGCACACACCCTGACGATCGCACACCGTTATAATACTTGTATGCATGAAGCACTGCACAGTGTGGCTTTGCACTTGTGGCCAGCCCCGCATTTCAAATGGTGGAGCATCTGGGTTTCAAATTTCAGATTAAGGAAGCTCAGCCTCTACAATGTTCATACGGACACCGTTACTCTAGATTTCTCTCCACCTTATCAGATCTTGAAAGTTTTGTTTTTATTGAAAAATAATGCTTATTAAAATTAACAACACCCCTACCCCACGTATTTGGTTACAGTTAGATTTAGAATAAGGTGGAAGCACTTCGGGGGAATTACACACCAGTGAATGTCTGTCCAGAAAGAGACTGTGCAGTCTCTGATCCATCCACATGTACGTTAGAACCACTGGCAGTTACACGCTGCTGTTGGCGGTGTCGCCCTGCACTGCGAACACCTGAGCTGTACACAGGTTCAGCAGAGGCAGGAACCCAGCTCAGGGCCGCGGGAACTGCCTCCCCTACCCCCAGCCAGGCTGCGCCGTCCACCGGGGGGTGTGTGCGTGACCTCATCTGAACTCCTCCAAACCCTTCTAAGGGTGCGTTTGTTCAACGTGTGTAATGCAGTGAATCTCTTAAAATTCCAGGTTGATAGATCCTCAGACGCAGGTGTCAAGGGCCAACGTAAGTACATGAGCACCTCCATGCCCACTTCAAGCACAACAGTGCCGGCCAGCCTTGCAGCGCTCCCCTGATAACAGCAGCCCACTGTGGCACGCGTGCCATAGGTTCGCCACTTGGTGAATGGCTACGTTAAGTGGCTGCCTCTCCCGTAGCCCCTTCCCGACCTTACAGAGAACCACAGCCCTGGCCGTTTTGATTCCCGTTGTTGGTGACTGCTCAGGGTGTCCTTTCCCCCCAGTTTGAACTCACCAGCGTCACCCAGTTCACTGCTCATCAAGAAAACAAGCGACTGTTTGGCTTTGTCACCCGCGTCCCCGAGTCCACGGGAGAAGACTCCCTCAGCACGTACATTTTCGAAAGCAACCTGGATGGCGAGAAGGTCTCGTTTCTGTCTTGTACTGGGACAGCGCAGTGCGGGGTGTTGGGGGTGGGAACCGTGGCCCCAGCTGCTTGGGTGACATTCCGCAGGCTCCAGCCCCCTCTGAAGGGACGCTGGCCGCCCTGCGGTTCCCAGGGAAAGTCCAGTGGACAAGGAGAACGCCAAGAGCAAGGTGAATTGTTCGGTAGGGATATCATAAAATGTTAGAGGAGTTCTCCACATCTGCTGTCAAAAAGAACATTAAAACAGAATGTACACTAGAGAATAGTCTCAGCAAACCAGGGCAGGAGGCACCAGGGAAGCACAGCTAAAAAGTGACACCAGGATCAGCCCATTAGCGTTAACCCTCGTTGCCTTCAGCACTGTGTGCTGTGGACAGATGCAGCGGGTGCGAAACACGCTTGAGGGGACACCGGTTAAGAGCTGCGAGCACCTGCTGGGCGTGGTGGCACATGCCTGTAATCCTAGCACTTGGGAGGCTGAGGCAGGAGGATCGTTGCCAGTTTGAGACCAGTCTGGGCTACAAAGTGAGCTCAAGGCCAGTCTGAACTGCATAGCGAGAACCTGTCTCAAAAAAGAGTCCCAACCACAAAAAAAAAGAAGAACTGTGAGCGCCCGAGTAACTCGGCCCTCACACGGCACGTGCTGGCACCAAGGTTCGGACAGCTGGGCACTAGCACTGCGACCCTGAGGACAAGGCCACCTCCCGGCACCCCACATGACCCCGCATGGACGGCGGCCTTGCCACGCCCCAGCTCACCTTTCCCCTAAAATGTTTGTCTATTTCTACTTTGCCGACACTGCTTTTCTTGTCATTTGCAGATATGTTATGCCATTAATCTGGGGAAAGAAATTATTGAGGCTCAGAAGGTAAGGTGCATCTTCGTGCTGCTTTAACCACCACTTCAAGGACCTCTGTCCACATGGGAAGGCTGCTCTCAAGTAGGAAAGTCGCGCTTCCTAGGCGGAGGGGTCCAGGGCGCAGTTGCAGAGCTTTCTAACTGCCCCATGCGTGCCAGGCCAGCTGCAGGTCCCGCCGACAAATCTGCACCTACTAATCAGTGCCACACCGCGGCACCTGCTGTGCACGCTCTCGCTCACACTGTTGGCCGCATCTCCCCTCTCCCAGCGACAGCACACACCCAAGGCCGCCCCCCCCGCCCCCGCACACTCCTCGGCCCTGCTCCTCGGAGGGCGCCCCAGCTCGTGGGGCCCACAGGCAGCACTTACTGAAGCGAGCAGAGACCTCCTGCCCCCAGCGAAGCTCGGAGGCCTAGTTAGCGGCAGGAAACGCTGCAGTGACTGGTGGGACAGACACAGTCCCCCTGCTCCTGGCCCTGTGCTGTGGGACGGAAGTGCTGTCCGCCTGCCCTGTCTAACGGGCAGGCTGAACGTGACAGTAGGACCGAGGGACCGGGTTTCTGAACCTGAGACGGTAGCGTGTAGGGAGCAGCCATGCTGCCAGTGCACCCGTGTCAGGAGGCGACAGCAGTGTGCCTTACGGTGGTGCCAAAGCCATGTTCAGTGGCACAGCTCAGACTGGGCCTCCCGCTCCTACCGGGGGCCTCTCTTGCGGCTTCTTGTCTGTCACCGCTGCGTCACCGCCCCCTGCTGTCGCGGTGCAGAAGCAGCCGCAGGCAGTAGGTGGATGAGTGGGTGAGTGTGTTCACGGGAGGCTTTGTAAGCTTGAGCCCGGACACGCCAGCTCCTGCCGGAGCGGAAGGTGTCCAAGGGCCAGAAGGCGAAGGCCATGTGCCGTTCCTCTGTGGGCAGGATGCCGTGGCTAGGAAACGGTGTCTGGCTGAGGGGAAACGTAGCCTGGCTTAGGCATTCCCTGCGGCCTGCGCTGGAGTTCTCAGAGCAGCGAGGGGACCGAGCCGAGAGGCCACGGCAAGCGAGGCGGTCGGAGCCAGCTCGCAACGCTGCAGCCACGCGAGGCCACGTGCATCTTAAGCTGCTTCTTCTCTCTCCCCCTTTTTGTCCCCTGCCAAACTCTCCTAACTTCAGGATCCAGAGGCACTGGCTCGACTAATGCTGTCTGTCCCGCTAACCCATGACGGGAAGTACGTGCTGCTAGACGATCACGCAGAGGACAGTGCCGGAGGCCCGAGCGGGAGCAGAGGCGCCGAGTCGGAGGCCTGACTCGCTGGGGCTGTGGGCGGAGCCCGGCGGGCGGCTCCTTCAGGGGTTTCCACTTCTCTGCCGCACAGGCGCGCGACCTGCTTTCAGGATGCTGACCGCGCGGCCCGGGATGCTTCCTCAGACGGGGCGCGAGCGGGGAGCCGCGCTCCGGCGTCTGCACCGGGCATCTTGGGCGCTCTGGGTGAGCGCCTCCGTGGGCCGCACCGAGGGAAGGGATCCTGGAAGACGCACTGATCCCTTGACTCGGATGTCATCTCTCCTGTTCCCAGTGCCCTTTTACTAAGAGCGGCAGAGGCCTAGACTTACAATTTCATAAGCACTAAGTATTTGCATTAACATAATCTATTTTTGTATGTTACCTAATGAGCTTTAAGTGCCTGTGCTCCGGGAAGTGCGTACTGCAAGCCGGCGCTGCTGCGCGGGCAGGGGAGCCGGCCGGCCGCGTGGGCACAGCAGGCTGATGGGACCGGGGACGCCAGGCCTCGCCCTGCGGAACCCCCTGCGGCCTCGGACGTGGCTGCGCTGGGGGGCTGTCGGTGGCCGCGGCACAGCACTTTCCTCTTGCTTCTGAGCCACACTCTCCGCCGGCCAGTGCATTCCCACTCACTGAAGCAGAGCGGACAGGGGCCTGGTGCACTTCTGTTTCCTCCGGGTCCTGGAACCCCGGCGACCTTCCAATCCCCAGAGCTGGGGTTAAAGATAAAAATCTTGAACTGTGAAGATCTTGAACTGTGCGTGGTGTTTAACTGTAACAAGCGCAGCAGACTATCATAGCCATGTAATAAATTAACCTAGCCATGAAAATGACGTTGTTTCTGTTTTTCTGCTCCTGGCGGTTATTTTCTAGAACATCCCTGGAAGAAAACTGAAGTGAGCTCTCTGGCACTAATGTGTAATTGCATAATGAAATTACAGCGGAGGGGACAGAGTACCCCAAAGCATCTTTGTTCAGTAAGCAGAACACTTCAGAATGAAACTGGTAAACAATTTCAGCAGCCCCAACTAGGCGAGCCTCTGAGGGTTGCTGGGAGCACCGCTCCTGTGACACGGGCGCCACCCGAGAAGCGGTGGGCTGACCTGGCCCAGTGTGAGTCCACGCCAGTGGGTGAGTTCCGTGGGCCCCGGTGCCGGACAGACCTGTGACAGAGCGGAGTCGGCCCCCAAGTTCTCTCAGGCTGCCGGAGCCGTGGCGCCCTGGATGTTGTTCCTTAAACTTAGACTTTTTCAGGGGAGGAGGCAGCAGGGTGGAGAATCTCGAGTTCTAAGGCTCTATTAAGACTGTGGCTGCAGTAAGACACAAAGCACGCAACTCAAGAGGAGCACAAAAAAAATCAGTACCTTAAAACTTCATCAAAAGAATACCAGAGAGAAGGAAAGCAACTAAGAGAGATGCCAACAAGACCAAGTACCCGCAACACAGAAAACATTCCTAAAACATCACTTCATTGACTGCAAACATGCTCAGTCACACATCAGAAGGCACAGATGAAGCCACAGGGATACACACATGCAGCAGGCTGCCGTCAGCCCTGGGAACGGGGCTGGGAGGGCAGACCTGCACCGGGCAGCCCGCGGGGCAGGGCAGGGCCTGTCCCACCACCTGGCATCCACTCGCGCCGGGCCAGTGGCGCGTTCAGCGTTCTCTGCTGTGAAACCCCACACCACCCACAGGAGAGCAGGTAAAGTATCTGCATGCCTATAACTGGACACTACAGTCATTCAACAATAGCTGAGGATCAGCTCTGGTGAACATCAGAATACTGAAGCAACATCAGAACATACAAATAAGATTCCACTTATATTGTTAAATAAAGGTGCAAACATTACTATTTAGGGAGATCCAAAGGCTGTGAACTGGCAAACAGCACGGGACTGGTCACCTATAGCAGCCATCCCCTGTGGGGCAAGGAACTCATGTATGTTTTTTTTTCCTTTTTTTGAGACAGGGCCTTGTTAAGTAGTTCAGACTGGCCTTGAAGTATATAGCCCTGGTTAGCCTCGAACTCACAACGATCCTCCTGTCTCAGCCTCCCAAGTGCTGGGACTACAGGCATGCGCCACCACACCTGGCAAACAATTTTTAAGATTTGCAAACTGCGGGTGATTTCTTCCCCCTTCCTACTGAAATGTGTACCAGTGCACAGGTGCCTAAATGAGGTGGGCAGGGAACCTCTTCAGGGGCCCGCTCGCCTCACCAACTTCCGTTTCCCGTCTGGATTTAGCACCCCTACCATCAGATAACCTCTAGGGAAGGCAGGGCTGCCTGACGTCGCCTACCCAAGCTGAGCCCCTTAATCCTTTTAGGCCTAGTGTTCATTTTCGGAACGCCATGTAGCAGTGTTACATAATAAACATTCTTCAAATTCTTGTTCCTTGAATTTTTCTAGGTAACATATGAAATTTCATGCAAAAATTCTAACATTGCAACCTTCAGCTTAGGTGAGTTAATGAATTTCAGCCCTTAAGAAACCCAAATCTGCTTATTTAAAAGGAAAGAGCTGGGGCGGGGAATTTAGCTCAGTGGCACAGCGCCTGCCTGGCAAGCACAAGGTCGTGAGTTCGACTCCCGGTACTGGAGAAAAAACAAAAAAACAAAACAATTTCTTCTAAAAGAAAAGAGTTAACACAAAACAAGTGCATTCCACTTGGAGAGGAGAAATAACAGGCTCTCTGCAGTAGCCAGCACTTACAGTAACATGGAGCAGTACACGCATACTGGCTGTTTCCTGCGTGTACAGTACTGTGTACGGACTCATCCGCAAAACCCCATGAAGCCCGTACTCTCCTCAGCCCATTTACTGCCTGCAGAGATTCAGCAGAGGTGAGTAAGCCTGCGGCAAGGGGCAAATCAGGACTCAGTCGGCCCTAGAGGCTGTGCTGCCAGCCCCTGTGCTGTGGACCTGACCTCCAAGACAAGCCATCGCCCCAAGTTTCTCAACCCATTAAGCTTTAAAGATTACCCTAACAGTAGCTCTGTCAAGGTATCTTCAGTGCCTTGCTACCTTCTGTGCAGATTTCTGCACAGATTAAATAACTGAGTATTAATTTGTAGACAGGTATTTTTCCAGTACCAGGAGGCTGAGGCAGGAGGATCATCACAAGTTTGAGGCCAGCCTGGACTACACAGTGAGTTCAATGTCAGCCTCAACTACATAGAGAGACCCTGCCTCAAACTGTGTAAAAGAAGGTTATTTCTTGGTATAAAAGTTAACTCCTCCACCACTTTAGTGATTACGAGGGCATTACTACAGAGTACTTCAGTATACGCGTCTCCCATGCATTGTACAATATACTTACAGCCCTTAAAGATGACCTCAGAGATAGGGTACCGCTTACGTGACGCAGGGCCAGGCTGCGGAAACACAGAAACGTATGTATTGGCCGAGCTTTTTTTATACACTGTGCTACGTGTAAGGCTCTGCCTTTTTCCACCATGAACTCTAAACGCCCTCAGCATTCTGGCATCTCCTGCAGTCAGTCCTTACGACTTTGCTTATATTCTGGATTCTTCTCATCTGACACCTTTGCCAGGCTGGCCTCGAACTCACGGCAGTGCTCCAAGTGCAGAGACTACAAGTGTGCATCACCACATGCAACACATCTGACATCTCTGACGACCTATTAAATTCTTCCAAACAGCTAAAAACTGGCTTTAAAACATGCTGCATGAAAACCCAACAGGACATGCACTTTGCAAGGTCTGCGGTGTGAGTCTAGAAAGAGACTCGTGTGAAAATTATTTACACTAGTGAAAGTCTATGATTTTTACATTTAGCAAACCCAGCAAAGAAGAGTAACACGGGGGTATCCTCCTTCCTTCAACGTTACACGTCTGCTAACCTCCGAGGGGTGGCAGCAGTTCAGAGGATCGCGTCTCCTGCCTCTAGCGCTTTCAAAACTCTTGTTCGTTAGTTTCAGTTCAACCCACGCTTGAAATCGGGGCTGCAGCTATGTCACGTATTGAGGACTGCATACCATCAAGCTTTGCAAAGACTCAGCGTGCTCAAGGAGGGGAGATGGAAGTTCTTCACCAGGGACGCAGACGGGACCCAACCCTAAATTAATTCGCACTTGAACTGTTTTCCCTATGGAGCTGCAAGCATTTTTTTTTTTCCACATCCAAAGGTTTATCTGATAAAAACACAAAGTGGTGTAACAAACAGAGAGAGAAAACTCTGATCAGTGAAGTCTAATGCTTGCACACTTTTATTTTTTTTTTTGTTTTTTTGAGACAGAGTTTTACTATGTAGTTTAGGCTGGCCTTGAACTCACCTTGTAGCCCAGGCTGGCCTCGAACTCGCAGCGATCCTCCTGCCTCAGCCTCCCGAGAGCCGGAATTACAGGCGTGCACCACCACGCCCAGCTTACACGCTTTTAAAAAGCTGTCAAATATTACAAATACCACAAATTTTGCAAGCCTTTCTAAAAAAAGACTCCATATTATTTTCCTAAATTTAAAGAGAACCCGCCCAAAGTTAATTTTAATTACTGGCTAAATGCAATTCTGAACATACACAGCAAGGAGAAGGAGTTTTCAAATTGTATTTATTAATATTTTACTTATACACAGTGTACTCACTGAGCGAGGAGGGGAAAGCCCCACTCACGCGAGGTAACAACCTGCCATCTTTTCCGAACTCTAAGGAGGGCTGACAAACCTACGATCAGTCCTTAACTCCTGAGAATCTGAACATCGTTAATTTCTCTGTGAACCTAAAACCAATGCGCACATTACTTTTAAATTACAGTGTCTGAAAAAATATTAACATTCCCATGTTAGCAAAGAAAAGCATCCTCTAGGATACTCACTCAGGCTGAGTGCAGCAGCACCCCCAGCTCTGCACCTGATGCCACGGACGTACTTCGTCTCCGAAGCTTCTACTGTGAATACGTGAACTCGTGCGAGCTGATCCACACTCCAGTGACCCTATTTTGAACTAAGGGTAAGGTGATCTGTCACCTTCTTCCCGACTGTAGGTATCCAGGGAGTCGCTCAGCATGAAAACTCTGGTGCTGGTAAAACCAGCGGCTGACACGCGGAGCTCCGGAAAAGAGCCAGTGACGCTCTTCTAATTGTAACGGCTATCCCCTCTACGGGGACAGTTTTAGGAAGTTAAAATCAGAAAACAATACTGTTGCTATGAAATGGTAACTAATTTGATATAATCAAATGCACTATCATTAATATAAACATTTATAATAAAGAAAATATAAATTATTAATTATGCAGCATGCTTTAGGGCCATTTCTACAGTTAGTATGAGTTAGAGATATCAGATGCCTTTAATCCACCCTTGTCCATGACTCTATGTCATGTTTCTGTAACAAACAAAACTCATTTTCTACATGTTCTGTTTCTTCCGACTTGAACAGTGAAAGTGCCTATCTCAGGCTGAGAAAGCAGCCCCGAGCCCAGGCGCTGCGCGCTGCGCACGGACAGAGCTGGGGACCCCCAGTCTGAAAGCTGGGAGTGAAGAGCAAAGTCAGAATTCCAACCGGGCAGAACCCCTTGCAGGATTTACCCAGAAACGGTTTGCAGGCAAACTTGACAGAGAAATCAAACACTTCCCAAGATGATGCTCGTTTCACATTTAGAGTTTTAATCTTGCCTTTTCATTGTAAAAGTACCATTTCACTACATTTTGAAAAGGTGGTGATTAATCCATTTATTGACTAATATACCTTTACAAAAATAAAAGCTTGCTGGGAATTAAATTTACTGAAAATCTTTCTGCACTTTTTAAAATCAGTAAGTGATTTATGCTGTTAGAGTTTTATTCTCACAGTGGTCATCTTTACACAGCCTGCCCAGTGCACTTATTATTTAATCCTGGATCTGAGATTATACTTGTCATAGAGAGTCTGCCCAGACTGGCGCCAAGATGTGGGTTTAACCGGACACACAAGAACCTGAGTTTGGATGTAGAAATCATTCATTCATTTTTTTCTCCTATCATACAGAGTGCCTTCACTGCAAGTGGCGCTTCCAGCAGGGCTCTATGGCTTTAGCAGGATTTCCTCTGAGCGTGGAGCACACCTTTAATTTAGAGAGCCGTTGGAGGGGCACTGCTCTCCAGGCATGTAAACTGGTTATACAGTGTCTGCTCAGAGGAGGGGCCCGCAGCCCTGCGAGTCACGTCACGGGAGTGACCGCGCAGGCCCTCGCTCCCACTGTGCCCAGCCCGCTGCGCCCCTCCAGCATCACAGCCGTGTGCACACACTACTGAAGCACGTCGGTGTCTCCATGAACGTCAGGCGCAACTCCTTTACGAAAAGAATGCACTGGCTGTATACAGGGTATGCACTGAATTTCCAAAGAGTTCAGATAAACAGGGACCAGAGACCTGTGCAATCCAAATTACACACACTCATGTATACCACAAGAGATCTGAGGCAACCGTTTAGGAATCTGGATTTGCTCTTCTGTAAGTTCCTGTCATGTAACTGTTCCGAAGAGCATGTTCTAGCCCAAAGTCCAGGGAAATATCCAAGTTTATAATCTTGTTCTCAACCTCTAAAAAGTAGAGCCTTTGGAAGCAGAATGGACCTCACTTTAGAGCACTGCCTCCGTAAGTTCCAACATCTAAATATTTTCCAGAACACGACCCAGGAAAGATTCATCACAGCTTCTGACCTCCTTCCCTCGGGGCAAAGTAGGAACGCACTAATGACCTCACACCAGCAGCATCATTTCACAACAGGGTCCGCTGACACGGCACTGTCCGATAGGTCTCCATTGCTTGTTTTTGTTTCTTCTGGAAGCAGAATGAAAACAACAATGGATATATTTATGTTCATTTTTTAAAAATTTGTAAGAGGTAAATAAACTCAAGAAGTGATGTATTACTAAATTTCAAATTCAGAAAAGGTTGCATCTGGCCAGGCATGGTGGCACTCGGGAGGCTGAGGCAGGAGGAGTGTTGTGAGTTCGAGGCCAGCCAGGCCACAAAGTGAGCTCAAGGTCAGCCTGAACTGCATAGCGAGACACTGTCTCAAAAAAAAAAAAAAAAAAAAAAAAAGTTGCATCCATCAAATATTTTGTTTAAATTTTTTTTTAAAACCCCTTGTCTCAAAAAAAGTAAAATTAAAATGCTGAGTGTGGTGGTGCATGCCTGTAACTCCAGCCCTTGGGAGGCTGAGGCAGGAGGCCTTAAACTTACTGCAAGTTCAAGGCCAGCCTGGGCTACATAATGAGTTCAAGCCCAGCCTGAACGTCATAACAAGACCCCATCTCAAATAAATGAATGAATCACATTTTTAAAAATTAAAATACACTTTTGAAAACCTAAGCTAAATCCTGCGCGAGTCCTAACTGGCGCTTCCTGGGACAGTGGAGCGCAGAGCAGAGCACTGGGCACGGGGCGCGGGGCTTCGCAGGAAGGCGCCCTCCCACGCCTCGGCAGTGCCTGCAGGGCTCCGTCTCTCCACAATTGAGAGCATACTTCCGATTCTTCCAAAAGGAGCCTAACATAACACCTACAAGTCTCCATGTAACGAACACAGTGGTGCCTGGGCTCACACACTTCGTTCTAGGATTTTGTGTTTGTCATCTGTTGTCACCCGTGTTTGCAAACAGAAGCATTCGTGAGCCGAGGTACCACTGTCCTAGGTATCTCTAGTTAACAGCCTCAATTTTTCAAGCAAATGTCTGTTATGCAGCACAATTCTAAAAATGACCGGACACATTCCTAATAAATGTTAGTTACTATTTAACTTATACAACAAAATCCAAGTATAAGGTAGTTCATACTAAGTCAATTATCTAAGTAACTGCCTCTAGTCAGTGTAACAAAAAATACATTTTAAAGCCTGATTTAAAATTAATAAAAACGTGTTATTTTATAGTATTTCATATCTTCAGTTATGAAAATCTCATGAAACACAAATAAAAAAAGAACACATAAACTCTAATTTGAGTCAACTAGTGCCTATACTGTATCCAGTTGTAACCTTCCAAACAGAGAAAAATGTGAACTATGCAGTATTTCCTATGACAGAAGAGAGAAACCTCTGCTCTTCAAGACATCTGAGCTACAGGCCGCTCTGAACCACACTCGGGACACTGCGCACACAGCCCTGAGCAACGCTCTTCACGTGCAAGCGTGGAGGCCACTTTCTCACTCTCCTCCGCAGACCACCACGGACACAACCCTGCCCGGGACCGCAGCCCCAGAAATGCCCACCGGGCTGCACTGCGCGCGCTGCTCCAGGGCCTCACTGTGCAGCACGGCAGGACATGCACATTTACCCTCCTTGCCACCTGCCCCACCTCACTGCCACCCTAGCTGTCCCCCGAACTGGCACCTTCAGATCTCATACAGGCAAGCAGTGAAAGAACCAAAACTAAGCTTGTTAAATTTTATTTGGTTAGAAGAGGAAGCAGAATCAGGAGTTAAGGATCTCACCACCGAGTGAGATGTATGTTGCAATCTGACAGGATCCAGGATCCAGACTGCCTTGTGTTTTTAGTGGATGTGCTGCCGAAGCAAGCACTGGCTTGTGTTTTTAACAACATGTATTTCTAGGTCTGTATTATTTTCCAAAAGAATAGGGAAGCTGGAAATCTGACAAGAAAATGAGATACTCATGTCTGCTGTTAAGAGACTTACTGGTCCTTCCAAATGCAGCCGATCACTTACCTTCCTTCTCTTTCTTTTCCTGGTTCTCTTCAGCTGCAGTCTTGTCTGCTCTGAAGAAAATTCTCGCACTGCTCAGTGAAAAATACAGCAATTCAAATTCCTAAGTAAATAAATTTGAAATAAAAGGGGAAAACAGTTATGGTAGAACATCAAAAATACTTTCAGAAGCTCTGGCAGAACTCACAAATACAGAAACTGAACCAACTAACTCACCCATTTTTAAGATTTGAGGCAGTTTGCAAATACCATGAACTCTAAAATATACTCTTTTTACCACCGCACGCCTCACTTCTTAAAGTGGGGGTGAGCACATGGCTTCTGGTTTCCAGAGACTGAAAAGTAAGTCAAAGCAGAGTCGCCGCTGCAGCCTCTACCTGTAAATAGACGTCCAGTCGCTTCTGAGTGAGATTCATGGTCTGCAGCAGCTTTTCATCCTGACTGGCTGAATGCACGTTCTGTTGCTTAGCAACCGCCCTTATCTCCTTCAAGTATTTCTCTCTCACAGACTGGAACCAGTGAAGTGAATCAAACTCCTGGTACTGATCCAAAAGCTTTAGGATGTAAGCCACACCTGCAGTCATTAGCAAAGCCAAAGCTCAGTGCCAGTAAACACAGAGTCCGGTTCTGTTCCTCCCCCCACAGCTCTTGCACTAAGCTCATCACTCTGAACTAATCGTCTCAAATCACACTTTCCCACATAAACAGGTTTAAGCAAGATGGCTTAATTGTTCCTTTAAAAAAGATGTAAAAGTATAAAGAACTAAAAAAGAAAAAATCATTTAAGAAGAAAAAAAATAAACCCCACAGCCAAGAAAGTCACCTGGAAAAACACACAGCTGTAGGACAGAGAATAAAAACTTGCCCCATTCAGAGAGAACGAGTGAAGAAGCTACGAGGAAGCCAGAGGAACTAAAGGCACAGTGCTGAAACCGAGACAGCAGGAACACAGCCGGAGCAGAAGGCAAAGTGGACAAGCGGCGGGCAGCGCCCAGAGGGAGCCGAGGCAGTCGCAGAAGATAAGAACGAGCAGTGCCCGTGAAAAGCACACGACCATTTTCAAAAGCCCATTTTCAAGGTATGGAGTTGACACAACAACAGCTCATCACGCTTACCCATGGCAAAACCATCATCCGTAAAGGCGGCTCCGATTTTATTCTTTTTATTCAGTTTCTCCTTGCAACTGATGGAATGTTCTACGAAGTTGAGGGTCTGAAAACAGATAACAGGTATCAGAGTCAAAAGTAGGTTTAGGAAATGTTCTAAATTTAGTTCCTGAAAAAGACATTTCAAAACTTACACAGTACACAGGGTCCGCTGGCCTTGGATACACGGGGCCACGGAGCGCGCACCCACGTGGAAGGTGGGCACCGCTCAGCCCCCCCTCACCCCCACAGGGCCAGCTCCGAGGGCCGTTACAAAATAGCATCTGGATTTCAGACAGGAGGACACTGGCAGTAGACTCCGTACTTCAGCCCAGGCCACAGAAGTGGACATGGGCATCCAAAGTGGGCCTATTTCCTCCCAAGCAGAAGCCCTCTTACTACACAAAGGGTAACGCTCATTTCCGCCTGCTCCGAGCGTTCTGAAACACTGCTTCTTCCCAAATTCTTGGTTCAAAAAAGGATTAGTAGCCCTTCAGCTAAAGGATAAATTCCTCACAATAGTACTTTCTCTTGAAATCCTGCTTTTCCAAAATATCTTCTAAGATTTTTTTGGTGGGGCGGGTACCAGGAATTGAACTTAGGACCAGGCAGGCACTGTGCCACTGAGCTATCCCCCGCCCCCAAAATCTTATCTCATTGAATCATTTACTCGATCGAGATCCACTGAAGCTCACTACGTACCACACTCTTTTTTTTTTTTTTTTTTTTTGTTTTTGGTTTTTGGTTTTTCTCCGGTACCGGGAACCGAACTCATGACCTTGCGCTTGCCAGGCAGGCGCTTTGCCGCTGAGCTAAATCCCCAGCCCCCCGTACCACACTCTTGACGGAAACACGGCCAGCATCTGGAGCTCACTCTGAGCAGCCCTGACGCTCACGGCAGAACTGCTGCGCATCTGCACATTCAAGTCACACCTGGCCCTGAGCTTCAGACTCGAGGCCAAGGGAACTGAGAGACTGACACTTTTATTTTATAAAACGTGAATGAAAATAAAGTGGCTGTGTCATGGTCGGCAGAGCTCTAGAGGAAGGCAGACGGCACTGTTTCCAACACAATTGTGACAGTGAGTGAACACCTATCAGCCTGTCCTGGAGACAAAATATATATATTGAACTTCGATTGCCTATAGAACTTATTTGGCAATTAATCATATTATTTATGAAACCTCTTATCAGCTCTTATTAAAGTCCTTTTCACGCAGCTTGTCGTTCTCCTAGAACTAGACCACAAACTTGAGCACAAAAGCAGCATCCCACATTGCTTCACACTCTCAGTCTGGTAACTGAATCCGCACAACTCCAGACTCCTCCCGAAGCTCGCCAGGGCCTCACTGAGGCTGCTGCTGGCTGCGGCGAGCTCTCCAGACCGCGAAGGGCAGGGAGCGCTGCCCTGAGATGGCTGCGGGGCCAGGTGGTCAGGCAGCCTCGATGCTCATCTGGACACCAGCCTAAGACGAAAGGGCGCTCACCACACAGAGACACGCATGCATCTGTGCCACGTCACAGTCAGGAGAGCTAATGATGAAGGCACGAAACAGAAAATTCATAAGGAAGAAAGGTATCTGTAGGTGACCGGCTATTTCCCATTTCCACCAGGCGCTAACAGTTATATCGTAAGTAAGAAGATACATCAACAATACAGGTGACAATATAAAAAGTTACTGTTCTGTAGGCTGGAGCTACAGCCACTCAGCGATGCCTAAAATAAGCAGCTCTCCACTTACAAACTGCAAACAAAAGACTTAGTTACAGAAACCTCGAGGGGAAAGTAACCCGTACTGACTCTCCAGACTCTTAGCCCCATTTTCCCCACTGGAACAACTGTCTTTATAACGCAATTTTTCAAGACTTGAGCCATACTTAGGCAACTACGGAATTAGAATGGGGCACTCCATCTATTTTCACAAGGAGAAAGCACTGAAAGTTCACTCTGAGTGTATTTACTATTGAACAGAGAAGTCGTCCTCAAAGAGCAACTTCTGAGAGGTGTTAGAAGCAGCGTCCTATCACAGCAGTTACTGCCGGCCCACAGGAAGTGCTGAGTGTGACTGCGGTGTAACTCCACCCACAGACTCTGGGGCACACGTGACAGCACATACCCAAGTGATCCAAAAACAGCAGGACTTCTCTGTGATCTACTAATAAGAACCTCTCTCAGCTCAGATCATCTCCATCCAAGCAGCCAGTCAGCAAACTTCTAAGTAACACTGAGGTGACGTGTAGTTTCACCTACATCACAAAGTCAGGGACACAGTCTGCATCATGCTACAAGGAAACCGAAATTATTTATCAATACTTCTTTTTTAAAAATTTCATTTTAGTCTCTGCAAATACTCACTAGAGGCGGCACAATGATATAGAAGTTTCGGAGGTGTATATTCTTTGGCCTTCGAAATTCTGGTGCAAAAACATCCACAAGCATTTTGAAATACTCTGTGCCTTCGGCAGAATTTCGTGTGTGATCACTGAGAACTGAGTCCAGATGCCTAAAAAACAGAGAAGAACAAAAATAAAATAGCAGTAATGGTTTAGGCACACTTCTTCAAGTCCATCTCCCATCAGGTCAGGTCACAGCACTCAAGCAGGACAACTCCCTGAGTTCAGAACGTACGCAAGGAGCTTCCGAGCGCTATTTCGTTAACTGAGTCCCTAACACAGAACACAGCACCCTGAGACTGAAGAGTTCCTGTTTCTTCTCCATTAAGTGTGAAGCCGAGACTATAATTCATATAATAAAAACACCGGCACACGTATTACACTTTACCCTACGGTCTTCCCTTTCTTGTTTCACACAAACACACCTTTGTTTGGCTTTTCAAGACAGGGACTCCCTGTGTAGTTCAGGCTGGCCTTGAACTCAGTGGTTACCCTGCCTCAGCCTCTGAGTGCTGGGACTATAGGCCAGTACCACCCCGCCCAGCTAAACTTCCAAATTTAGATTATTCCAAAACTAGGTTACCTTGCTGCTTTTAACGTTTCTTCTGCAAGACCTTCTTCTTTTACTAGTTCTTCAAAATTTACAATATCTTCAATATCAGGCACAAATCTAAGTAAGACATTTGGGGAGGTATTTATTAAGGCAACTAAAACATGTGCAACTGACAGGAAAGTGTAGCATTCAAAGATTTTCAACTATGTGCTTCAGGAGAAACTCTGCATTCAGTGACACTGTTAATATCACCACTCTATTGCAAATCATATTTTAGATATCACATTTTAATCCTTAAAATCACGTACTCTACCGAGACTAATTATAAGCAATACTGACAAAATGGGGGCTGGGGATTTAGGTCAGCAGCAAAAGCGCCTGCCTGGCAAGCGCAAGGTCATGAGTTTGGTTCCCAGTACCGGAGAAAAACAAAACAAAACAAAACAAAAAAAATACTGACAAAATGATTTAACTGTAACCCTAAGAAAAATAAAGATTTTCAAAAGTCTAATGAGGTCTTAAAATTTAAGGAGAAAAAAATCTAATTAGCAGGATTAATGGTTTACTTCCATTTTTCCTCACAACATATATTTACAAAGACGAACACCTTCTCTATGAATATTACATATATATCACAAGACAAATTTAAAAAACATAACTGTAAGCCGGATAAACACGTCAAAGATGATGTCTGCATCCATACCTAATGGCACTGCTGCTACAGTGAAGACCACCAGATCTTATCATCCGCACATAGCCCATGGCATTACCTTAAAAATCACACAAAAACCACGTGTTTATATGTACAGTGAATTACAAGGTTCTCACTCCTCAGTACCAAAATATGCTGTTTTACTTCAGTTCTTCCTCCATAAAAAAAAAAAAAAACGGTTGTATATTTCTGCACTTATAAAGTACAATTATGTTTCATTACATACCTTAAGATAAACTTACCTCTTTTAATTGATAAATTTATTAAATGCACCCAGAGACATTGTGTGATCCAACATTTTAGAGTATCAATGATTTCTTCACTCCCACCTTCAGAGACCGCCCCACACCACCCACCGAGAAATCAGTGTGCACGTTTACATATCCAGAAGAAAGTTAAAATGTAAATGTCCACGTCAAACTCGGGATCTGTAACAGCATCAGGATGTCTCCCTCAGAAACTGGCAATCTCTGTCTGCAGCTGCTCGCAGCAAATGCCTTTAAGCCATCCCTGACTTCTTCCTTCCCGTCCCACTTTGTGTCTCATCACTGGACAAACTAGTGTTGGCTCCGCCTGGAAAACGTAGCCAGAATCCAACCATGTTCACCTCTTTCGCAGTTCTCATCCTGCTCCAAAACATCACATCTTGCCTAGAACACTAGGACGCACAACAGTTCCCAACGTCCCCACTTCCACCTTTGTGTCAAGTCACACCCCAAGCTTTTACCCACCTGGCATACAACGGAGAACCTTTCAGAGATGGCTGCTGCCCAAGTCCCAGAGGTTTACCGCCACTAGCAGCTAGTGATACCTCAAAATCCAGCATTTCCTGAAAACTCTACACATGTTTCCCGTTCCAGAGTGAAACCCATCCTTCCGGTGGACAGCACAACCGGCTCGCTGCTCTGGCACCCACCACTCAGGTCTCTGTCAACTCCGTCCAGCCCCAGTAATCCTCAAGAATGCATGGCACACTCTGGCTTCTGCGCTCAGTGTGGCTGTCTGGTACTGTTTCTCTGGACGGCACAAAGCTTCCGCCCCTACGGGCTGTAGGTCCCTGCTCACGTGTCACATCTGGGAAGTCCTCCCTGAACGTCACCGTGGGCACTCTGTCTCCACAGGCAGCACTCCTTAGTGCAGCTCAGACAGCGTCTCACTCACCACCCCACACACTAAAATCAAGCTCCACGAGCAGAGCCTTTCTGGCCTCCACTGCTCCATCCCAGAGCCAACACATCCCGCACAAAGCAGGAATCCAGCACAAACTGAACTGAACTGAGCTGAAATTACTTGGGCCACAGAACTCACAAGAAGGTAAGCATTAGCCATTCAAAATCACTAGAGTAACGTGTTTCAATGCTAACCAGCCTACAGGGCCCCTGAACCTATTTTAATGCCCACCCCAACTGTTTTGTTTTGTTGGTTTCTTGAAACAAGGTAGCCCATGGTGGCCTTAAATTCACAGCAAGCCTCCTGCCTCAGCCTCCCGAGGGCTGGGATTACAGGCGTGCACCACCACACTCAGCTGTTTCTTTTTCTTCTAATGTGCATCTCAGAAAAAGCAAGTATCTAATTTCACTATTTTCCTCCAAACTGTCCGACTAACGTCTAGTTGATCAAAATGTGACAAGCTGGCACAGCATAGTGGCAAGGAGCAAAAATTCTGAAGCCAGACTTCCAGGGTTCAAATGCAGACTGCGGCACTTGTGAGCAGTAGGACCCTGCTCAACCTATGCAGTCTCTCTGTATGTCAGCCTCCTCGCCAGGCCAAGTCAGCCCTCGCAGGGCTCAACCTTCGTTTAGGGCCCTACAGAAGAAACATCAGCACCCAGGAGCACTTGCTGTCCTAACCAAGAATCTGGAATGAAGGAACGGAACCAGTACTCCAGGGCTGTGAGCTCCCCACTCCTCAGCACACACAGCACCAGGGCTGTTCACTCAGTAAATGCTCAGCGAACAGCAGCAGTCCTCAGTGAGTCCAGCAGGCAGCCGGCCAGAGCCTCCATTTTGCTCCCAGCTCTTCACTCCTTTTCTCAAAATGATTAACCGACTCAAAAGCACACTGCAGTGTTTTACAGGCAGAGATAAAGAGCCTGTGTTTGAAAGAAGTGAATGAAGAGTAAAATGCTGGGATAAAGTAAAGAGGGGAGCATCCCCAAAGGGAAAGCACGCAGAGGAGCGAGGCAACACTAGACACCACACCGCGCACGTTCTTCTCCGTGGCCATGGGTGCAGAGGCACACCAGGAACATGAACTGCATGCTAAAGCCCATGACCTGAACGTTACGTCTTAAGATAAAGTCATACTTTCAAAAAACACAGAAACATAAGAAAATTAACAGTACAGGCAGTATTCACCCGCGGTAAAACTCTGATACCTGTTTGTGAAGAAATACAGTCACAGCAACACTGATCGAGAAAGACAGCTCGGAATGTGCTGTTGTATACTCTACACCTAACTCCACATGCACAGCAGATGGGCATTTGCTCTGCAAAATTATCTTCACCAGAATTTCAAAAATGGTTAAGCACTACTGCTCCAGTAGTTTGCCAACTAGGCTGGCCATGGTAACACATGCCTGTAATCTCAGCACTCAGGAGGCTGAGACAGGAGGATTACTGCAAGTTCAAGGCCAGGCAGGGCTACGTACTGAGTTCAAGACCAGCCTGAACTACACAGTGAGATCCTGTCTCAAAAAGAACAAAAACAAAACACAAAAACTGATTACATGGCTACCTCATGGGGCTAATGGGAGGGCACTTCATGCAGGTAATTTTTGGGAAAAATGCAAAGGAGTGTAACATCTTGTTAATCTGTGATTATATCTACATGTAGTTGTTCCTCTTAAGTACACTATACTGTACTTCAGAAGATTAAGTTCTAATCATATGGCAGAAGTACAAATTATCTACACAAGTATTAAAATGGTATAACAGAAAAATCATAGCATTTAGCATTTTATTTGTACCTCAAATTATATTTAACTTATTAAATTATTATCTTTTCATATAAATATTACATATCTTCACATTTTGGCTGTAATGTGACAGCACGTATTTAAAAGCTCAAAATGATGCTTTGAGTAGTGGTATCCAGTAAGTACTTACCAGCTGACTATTAATTTTGAATATGACCTCTGAGATGATTAATCTGATGCAAGAGGTTTTATTAGCTTTTATTAGTCTACAGTCTACCAATTAGTTCTGCAGCAAAAATTCTGAAAAGAAAATTCCCCTAGTGGTATAGCACTGAGCTGAACATAAGCTATTTATTAGTATGAGCTATTCAGGGCACGCAATCCCTAACATCTGTGCTGTACTTCTCAATATAATAACTTACCGATTTGGCTAATGAGTTGCCTGAACTGGTCAAGGTAGCTCTGTCCCTCTGGTGTTATTCCAAGTTTTCGGATGCCTTGATTGAATTTTTCTGCTCTATCAAAAGGGTACTAGAGAGAGAATTTTGAAATAATCTTTAGATCCTGAGCCAGAAAATGACTTTCAAGTTATCCACACCAATACTACTTTCTAATGTTATTTCCTTCTGCTTTAAACAATAAAACCCTCAAGTCTAATGACAAACAATTTACAAACTAGCCAGGCGTAGTGGCATATGTATACCTGTAATCCCAGCCAGTCAGAAGACTGAGGCAGGAGGATAACTGTGAATTCCAGGCCAGGATACCTAGTGAGTTTAAAGCCAGCCTGAACTACATAGTGAGACCCTGTCTCAGAAAGATAAAATTAAAATTAAAATTAAAATTAAATAAAAACCCCTCATGTTCAAAGTCAATACGATTTTTTTCTTCTTGATATTAACCAAAGGGAGTAATAATCAGGGCCCTAAATTTAAGTTCCCCACCAGCGGTATTGGTCTCTCATCCCCAACAGCTCTATCAGACTGAAAAAAAGGAGAAACTAATCCCTCTTAGAAACATCTGTCCACAGACGTGTGACCAAGTGGATGGAATACACGCTAATGCAACTGCTCCAGAAACGGAGTGGGGAATGGGAGCAGGAGGGCTGGCCCACACATTGACAGTGTTTAAACATTTCAAAGTAAGCACTGTATTACTCTCAAACTACAGAAAGGGAATCTGGCTGTACTGATCCTTCCATTTTTCCTTACGTGGAATCTGACAGAGAATGCAAAGCACAGGCTGTAGGGGAAAACAGAACGAGCACAGAGCCAGCCTCAGAGACAAGTGAAAGGTAAGGAAGAAAGCTAAAAGCCCACTGAGCTCTAAATAATGAATTCTACATAGACATTTACCACATAGTTACCAGCTGAATCAAAGCTGAGTTCCAAAGAACACAAAGCATACCTTATGATCATTTTGGTCCTTAACTTCCCTGAAAAACCGAATGTCTTTAATCAATCTGGATTTGATATGCTCATCATACATAAATTGGCTAAAGATGTAAAACTTCTTTTTCAAAAACTGGTAGGTGAAATTAACCTATAAAAATTGAAATTCAGAAAATTGGAGAAAGTTAATATGAAATTAATTTCAAATCAATGATACTAAATAACAAAGATCTCAAAAGTACTATTTGTAAAGTTCAACCACAACAGACCTAAAAATATTTAAATTTGCCACTGCCCAGGCTGACCTTCTTCATATTTTTGCTAAGGAGAAAGAAAGAAAAAGTGGCGCATTTCCTTGTGAAAGGACACAGCTGCACGGCAGTGGGAGACACGGAGCCCGGCGGGAGACTGGTTTTTAGCCAAAGCCACTGGGAATCCTGGGCTCCTGGCCTTAGACTGCTCAGTACTAACTGCACACGAGGCGGAGGCAAGAGTGTGCTCTGGACTTTCTGAAGAAACATTCATTATTCATCAGCAACTAATTCTGAACATCTTTCATGCTCAGAGCAACGCGCCTGGCCTCATGCTAGATACGGCCATATTCTAACCGGAGTGGTAGCCATTTTAAATAAGTACTGTTGAATAAATTGCATCTCAACTGTAATGACTTCTAAAAAATTAAAGTGTGAGTGCTCTGGGGATGAATAACAAAAAGATTCAGAAAAGTCTAATGAGGTGAGATCTGAGCTGAAACTGAAGTAAGATCTGAGCTGAAACTGAAGTAAGATGACTCCTAACTCACACAGGGATGCCCTCGACCAACTCCCGGGGCCACTGCCCTCCAATGTTACTATCACTTTCTGTACAGTAACACCCTGCTGCTGAGCCTGCAGCTCCCCACTCACAGAAGCGAGGGTGCGGGCAGAAACGCTGTGCCATGCTGCTCTTTTCCCACTGCTCTGCTTTTATCTTCTCCACAGTCCTTCCCCCCGCCCAGGTGGGTGACTCCCCTGAGAGTCCCACCCCTACGCTCCCTCCAGGTTGCCTGTCTCCCAGTGTGGCTGACCAACTCCTGTCAATGTTGATCACCAGAAGAGCAGGCCATCCCTAGTGCCTAGCACAGGGCCTGAGACACATAAAATACACCACAGTACGGTATTCTGCTACACGAATGCTTGAAATTAAAGTCTAACCTCAAAAGGTCAGAGTTCATCTTCGAAGGTTCAGATGTGATCTCCACATAGATAACTTATTTTACATTTCCAATCGAACTCTGACTAGCTACGTGTCACTCCCTTACTGTTAACCAGCAGAGCTCCAATCACACCATCCATCAGCTCAACCCCTTCAAAGCCTCCTCTCTACTGAAACAACCCCAACTTAGCTGTCCAATCTTTCCTGACCCCTTCACTCCAACCTAGTTAACATGAAACAATTTAAGCATTCACATTTTTTTTACTCTTAGAGAAACGAACTGTGCCCTTATCACAGGTCAGTTCCAAGATTTTTTTCTCTTTTTCCTACAGAGGGGAAAGCAGCACACACGCTCAAGTGATCTCAAATGAGTGCCCATTTCTAGGAGGATTGCAAACTGTCTGATATGGATATCAGTAATTAGTAACCTCTCTTCAAAAGACTACAAATAGCATTAAATAAACTGCTCTCTGGGACTCAGTTTGAAACGCCACTTTCAGAGAACGTCAGAGAATCAACACGATACACACGCTGCTCACAACAGCCCTGTGAGGGCAGGCTGTCCTGGAGAGCCTTTCCACCCCAGCTCCCTCCACATCCAATACAACTGAAGTGTCAGATTTTCTTAACTCCACCACGAGGGAAAATGAAAATTCAGGGATAAGAGAGACAAGCAGTAATACACATTTATCAGATTATCCTGTAAGAAAACTCTCTTCCAAATTACATTATCAGGAGTACATTAACCTCCCAACCACCGCAACAGGTGCTTACTGTGGTGTTCATGATGCCCGTGCCATGTGTTCGAATGGAGTTAGCAATGTGCCGAATGTTAATAGTATTCAAATGTTTGTTATTGCTTGTTCGTTCAATAAAAATCTGCAACGAAACAGACTTATGCTTAATACAATACAACCCATAGCAAACACTGATGCGCTACCCAAACAAAATTTACAATTAGTTTCCTTAAAGGCAGTTTGACTATAAAGCCACTCAGACACCAAAAGCCAACAAAGAAATAAACAAGATCTCTGAACAATTACTTCTTGTTTTATATCATTTACTTATCTTTACCCTTGAAAAATCAATTTCTTGCCCTTTAACCTTTCCACTATCTACATACCCAGATTTAAAAATATTTCCTAAAGTCCACTCACCTGATTGTTGAGATTATAGAGGTATCGAGACACAAATATATGAATATTTCTCATAATTTCCAGAACATCAAGGCCCTACAACATAATCCACATGAAAATACTATTATTAGTTTAACTCCTATCAATTAGTTAAAGCTCATATCAATATTATGACTTGTGGATTAGACTAATTCCCTGGTGAGTTTAGAATTACAAACTACATAAAAGGCAGAGCCAAAGGTTCAAGACCCTTGTGACAGGGACAATCAGGATGCGCTCCCTGCGGAAGCCTGGCCGCTTGTTATTTACCCCGTCCATGTGGACAGGAATGGTTATGTTTAGTGACAGAGACCATGAACCACAATTGTGTCCCCACGGTGCTGATCTGTCTTTCCAAGGGTCTTCTCTCCACTTTTCTAACAAGGAGAGGTATGGCCAGATCCCAGAGCGCAGTCACAGGACAGCTCTCACATTTCTAACACAAACTACTTTTCAGGTACTCTGCAAGGTTCTTTATGTGGAGTTTCCCAACAGTGTGCTACTGTGAAACTCCGTAAGTGAAGAAGACGAAGCCGAGAGAGTTCTCTGAGGTCAGACGCAGGGAGAGGCACACCCTTGAGATTTTACAAAGTCTAATGTCAAATTCCTACACTTCTTTTGATTACACCAGACCGCTTTCACTCTCGTTAAGACTCCCTCGTTCTTCACTTATTACTGACATCCCGTGGTATTCACACTCATCGCTCCACAGCTGCTCTGCAGGCTCCAAAGCGGCACTGCAACACCTGCAAGTTTCTATTACAGCTCTTCTCATTCTAAATCTCCCGTGAGACTGAAGTAACACAAAATGGAATGATTTCTCTTTCCCTGTAAATCCCTAACACAGGTGAGTGTCTAGCATATTCTCAATAAATACTAGATGTGTACGTAAGTGAATGGAAGGATACACGAACACATCCTGGAAATGATCTTACACACAGCAGGTTAAAGAAGAAATTATGGCGGTCAAATTCTGAAACTGAATAATTGTTTTTGATAAATATTATGTGGATTATCTTAGAATTCCATGCAAATCTGTAACATAAGCTGTCACACTCAGCTCCATAATGATACTCTGTATATAAATTATAAATATTATAAATTAGCTGCTTGAGTGAGCAACATCCAATGCTACTTTGCACTCTCTTTTTTTTGCGCAAGGTTTTGCTATGCAGTTCAGGCTGGCCTTGAACTCACTATGCAGCCCAGGCTGGCCCAGAACTCATGGTAATCCTCCTGTCTCAGCCTCCCAAGTGCAGGGATTACAAACCTGCACCACCACACCCTACTCTGGACTCCTCATTTTAAGAGCAAATGCATTTGCAACTATGGAGAGCATATCACCTGCCCCAAGACACTCAAGTTTATATACCTGTCCAGATTTTACATGCTGTGACTCTACCTGAAGCCCCTCAGGATCCCAGTCCATTTTTGAAATTAGTATCAATCTATATATATTTCAATACTCAACAGATGTCTGAGTGCACACTACAAGGCTGTGCAAAACCGGTGACATTGATTTTTATACAGTAGAGGCTTTAAATAAACAAACAAAAAAAAACCCAAACACCAAAAACCTCAAGTATAAAGACATAAGGCTTCCACTCTGTGTTCTCACTCGAGAGTCGGAGATGTGAGCAGCACCTCCCACCCACCTGCTCCAGCGTCTGACTGGGAAGATGCGCCTCCGTCATGACCAGGCCGTAGCGCTGGGTGGCTAAGTTTCTCATCTCACTGTAAGTGGCCCAGTCGTGAAGAGCTACCGTGGTGAGATTATAGAAAGTCTTGTCCAGGTAGTGAGTAACATAAGCTGCAAAAATGGAACAGAATTGTAGGGCAGGGATGTAGCTCAACGGCACGGCACCAGCCCGGCAAGCATGAGGCCCGGAGTTCAATTCCCAGCACAAAAAATAAATTAATTAAGTAAACAGAATTTTAATTCATGAGACAGTAAATAAGAAACTAAAGAGGAAAAAACCACCACTGCCTCTGAACATCGAACTTTTCCCTTTAACATAAGGGGCTAGGCACTAAAAACTGAAGACACAACCACATCCAAAAAGACAACCTCAAGGTCTGTCTCACTGACCCTTCAACAGACAGGCACTCACCTCGAATATCAATAAATCGATCGAAAAAGCGAATTGGATGCAGAGAGAAAAACAGCGCCAGGTCCTTCATGCCCACTTTGAAAGGGTTGCGGTCGTCGAGCTTCAAGTGCGTATGCACGGAGAGCCGCAGGTCTTTCTCTATCTCTTTGCACAGCTTGTCCAGCAGGTGCTAGTCATTAATGAAGCGAAAGCTGCAGTCGTTACAAGCAGGTTACAACTGCCATCTCCCCACATCCGCGTTTTGCCCCTGAGAGCTCTACATAGTGCACCGATGAAAAAAAACGCCTAACAGGATTGTGGGGTTTAGGGTTCTAAATATTATGTGGTCAAAATCTTACTGAGATCATTACAGAGACTTTGTTCTCCATTTTAAATCAATGACTCTTTTGTCAGAAGCAGTTACATAAACGCCAAGCCTTTACTTTCATGCTTTATCTCGCAAAGCAAATAAAAAGGTAGTAACTGACGGCTTCATCATAAAGAACACGAACGTGACACATGAAGTATGTGGAACCAGCAGCCAACTGGGAAGGTCTGGAGAACAGACAGCAGGAGAGCGAAAATGCTTCCCTTGGGGCAACGATCATTAAAGTGACAACTCCCTGTGACAAAGGTGATGAGACGGGCCACCTTGTCTGCTATCACAGTTTCAACACATGTATTTTGTTATACAAGTAATCCTTCTGACTACATACGATTCTCTTCTTAGGAGCCCTCCATATGAAATATTAACAGTTAATCGCTAAGGTCATATTAATAATTAAATTGTCCTAACCATACCCTTTGTCCTACATGGCGATTTACAATTTTTGGCTCAGTGAAAGTCTGCCACCATCTAAAATTTTTCTAAACACTGCATTCTACAACATTGCTGTAGTCTTCTCAATCTCAAATACAATCTCACCTCATTTAAAATTTCCATAATCTCCTTGTCGTAGCAATCCAGCAGGACCTCGTAGGACTCCAAATGCCTGGAGTGCATCATAGCGGGCACACAGTCTCGCAGGGCACTGAACATGTACTGAGAAGGAAATTACACTGGGCATGAATCTACACAATCGTATCGCTCATCTAAGCAACGTTACAAAGGTAGTTATCTAATTATCTACCTAGTGAGCAAAGCTTCGATCTGAAGGAAAATTATTTTTCCACAAATGTATTGCTTTCCCAGTAGTAGAGGAATCGAAGCATACAGTTTAGACTTAGAGAAATTCACGTGGAAATGAACAGTGAACAGAAACATGAATAACATCTGGTCCGCTGATGAGAAAATCCGAGTAGTATGACACAACTAAACTCAAGTGAATGGGAATGATCAGAAATCCACGGGGGGCAGCTGAATATATTGCAATTCACTTCATTAGTATTAGTATAAAATCTAAGGACGGACCGCACAAACACACACTGTCTACCGCACTGTATAAAACAGCATCAGCGTGAGGTTAAAGCAGTTCACTACAGCAGATGACCCATCTGACATCTAAGAAGTGACCAGATGAGCTCCATCGTTACTGTTATCTGCACTTACATGTAATCTAGCCGCATCGACAGCGCTTTCATACACATCATCCAGGTAGATCGGGAAGACAGCTCGATGCCAGTACAGAAAGCCGCAGTCACACTGCACCCGCACTCTGCAACACAGACAGCAGTCAGCAGCGCCACACCCGCAGCATCCCGCGGCGCTGTGGAAGAGCGGCTGTGCGAGAAGGGCAGGGCTTCTGCCTCGCTCACTCTGCACTTCTCCCGTCACTTAACACACCACTGGTGCACAAAGACACCAGGTATTTCTAAAACTGAACGTGGCACTGTCAGAATTATGCAGATCTACTTTAGTTTTACAGGTTTGGAAAACACTACAGATAAATTTTAAACAGTTTAAATTAAATTTATTTACAGGACTGGAACTCTCATCCAATGCCCACGACTATAAAGAAATAAAAATTTAAACGACTTAAAAATGTCGTTTCAGTATTATTTGATAGGACTACGCGCAACAACACTTTTACCACAGGCACCATTTTACCTGCCTCCAGGCTGGAAAGGAACTTTTAAAACGATGCTCAAAAGAACCTGATCCCATAAAACTGATCTATAATCTTTGCCACCAAATACTACTTCATACCATACAGGGTAACAAAATGATAATCAAACATCTTTCACGTGTGCAGTCCTAGGGAGTGAGCCCAAGGTGTCCCCACTGAGCTCCATCCCCAGCCTGTTAATTTACTGCTTTCTTTTGAACCAGGGTCCCACTGAGTTGCTTAGCTGCCCAAGCTGGGCTCAAACTTTTGACGCTCTTGCCTCAGCCTCCCGGAATGCAGGTGCCACAGGTGTGTGCTACGACACCCAGCTACACGTGTTATAATGAATAAGGTTTGGTATTTCTTCCAAGAATGGAAAAATTAAATGCCACTATTAAATGCCCTTAACTGTAAGAATGTCAGCTTCCTAAAACAATACGAAAACTATGAGCATAAATAGAAACTCTGCTGTAACTGTGATGCAACCAGGAAAATCAAAATTCCGAAGACTCATTTGCAAGAAACTTACTGCTTACTACATAAAAACAAAGCAAGCCACCAACAGCTACAACAATAAGCTTTAAATTAAACTAATTCAACTTCCTGACTACTGAGGACATAATTCAAATTCAATATAATCTCAAATAAAATGACAAAGCTCTGGGTCACAGCTCTGAGAGTCTTATACAGTAGAAATGCCAAAGTCTAGCAGTGATGCCAACATTCGTCCCGCAAGGCTCTGAGGCTGCACTGTTCTCTCAGTGAGTCCCCGGGGCAGCAGCTTCCTACGGAGGCAAAGCAACCCGCACCACCACTGGAAAGAGGTACAGGGAGGAACTAATGCTCTGTCCAGGTTTCATTGCTTCTCGTGCTATGCTGAGAAGAAAATTTGAGGGGATAGGGGAAAGGAAGGACAGGAAAAGGAAAAAAATGAGAAAAGAAAAAATGGAAAGAAAGCTTTTGTAAATAAGGAGGGGAAGAGGGGTTGAACGGAGGGGAGGCGGGGAATAGGAAAAAAAAAAGAATCAAGTTGTGTCATGCACAGGTACACATTCCCTATGATGGATGTGATCATTATGTATACCTAAAATGTACCAATAGCTGTCCGTTTTGAGTGTTACTACACACACCAGCCCTACTTACCGCTCTCTGAGTTCGCTGATGATGTCCAGCTTCTTCATGACTACTTGAAGGGGAAAGAGTTCTTCATCTTTAAATGTTTTCTGTGAGAGAGGGGAAGGCAGAGAGGTTGGAATGGGAATGAGGACAGGCTCCGCGGGCCAGGGCCCCGGTGACCCCCCAGGTCGCTGCGGCACACTCACCATCTGCGTGCCCACGCTGAGCGACAGAGACACAATGAGACGTCGCTGCTTTGTGCTTGGTCCATTTAGGGTGTTTTCCGCCAGAACTAGAGCAGAGAGCACATCGAGACGCTGTTCACTATATTTTTTGTCAGAAATTACTCTTTTCTTAAAGATAAAAGAGGAAACTATTAGTTTTGTTTCTGAGATAACAAAAGGCTCAGAAGACAAACTTCTCACTATCCTTTGCATGACTCAATGTAAGAGACCATAGGAAAGGACCCTCCCTGTTACACTTTTCATAATGTTTTGCATTTATTTCTCTATCCTTATTTCTTATCACTCTCAGGAGCGGCAAGTGTACAGGTGTACTGGGAAACTTCTAAATTAATTTAATAAGAAATCATTTCCAGAAATGAAGCATCCATTTTAAAAGTGTATATTGTACCATTTTTAAGAGGAAAGGAAGTCCTGAGAGATAACTCTAAAAACCATAAAATCCTATGGTATTTAATATTCTTAGAAGACCAAGAATATTATGTTTTACAAGGAACAAAGTAGGTTAAACTATAAAAAGCATGTGCAACAACAGAACAAACAAAAAAGACAACAGTACTGTGCTGAACACAGATTCACGCGCATACCTTGGCTACAGAAATAGCATTAAGAGCCTGGTGCTGAAGGTGCTGTGTTACATGCGACACTGAGTCCGCCACAACCATGCTTCTCCTGTAGAACATATGCTCTATTGCCTAAAAATAACCAAAAGCAATGTCGTGAAAATCAACTTACAACTTTTAAGCAAAATTACAGAAATGAATCTTTATGACCTCAGGCAAGAGAAAGTATTGGTAAATGAGAGACAATAAAAAACATAAAGGGTAAAACTGGAAAACTCAATGATATTAAATTAAGAACTTGTCTGTCAACAGACATTATTAAGAAAGTAAAAGGTAATATTTATAAAAAGATATTTGCCAAAAACAACAACTGGTGTCTAAGATAAAGAATATAAACAAACAACAAAAAAAAGACAGTGCCACAGAAAACAGTAAAAGACAGGGACAGATTTTTCTAAAAAAAGAAACATCATAAATAATGGACAAATATTCCCCATCATTGATAATTGGTGCTGAGCATTAAAAATCATGATCAAAACCAGTAAAATCCACTGATTTACGAAACAGAACAAAATGACCCTGCCTTGACAATACAGATTGAATGAACATCCCTAACCTAAAAGTCAGAAATCCAAACTGATCCAAACATCCACAACTCTGAAGGTCAACCTGACAGCACAAGTGGAAGATCCCACACCTGACTTCACAAGAAGGGTCCCAGGCAAAATGAAGGCACACAAGAAAAACTGTAGGATCCATGAGTCAGGTGTGCATAAACCAAATGAATTTCATGTCTAGACTTGGGTCCTATCCCCAAGATATCTCACTATGAACATTTCAAAACCCCAAACCAAATGGGGATCCCAAAAACTTCTGGCCCCAAGCACCTCAGGGAGTGATACTCATCCTGGAGGGGTACGGGCCAGCTGGAGAACAGTGGGAATTCTGACATATGGGAGAGGTATGTGAGCAGATGCCACTCTCTGGGAAAACAACATGGCATCATCTTGAAAAGATGAACATATGCACAACTAACTCACTGTAGCCCCAATATTAAGAAAAACTCTGTACCACAACACCGAGAAACACACAAAAACAGTAGCTCTGTTTGCAATAGCAAAGACTGGACACAACCCCAGAGCCCAGGCCAGACAAGCACCCAGCAATGAAAAGAAAGACACTACAGGTGCTCCTCCCAGTATGGAAAGATCTTAATACAAGCTGTGAGTTAAAGTCAAAGAATACACACAGCACTCCTCTGTCAATATAAACCTCAAATCATACATAACATTGAATGGTTTGGGGGTTCATCCATACGTGCTAAACTAAAAAGAACCACACAATGGGAAGAGAACATGAAATGCAGGATACAGATGTCCTCGGAGAAGGTAGGCTGGCTGAGCTGCAGTCAGGAGGTGACACACAGGGGCTTCACAAATATCTAGAACATCCTACTTCTCAAGTGAGTCAGTAATGAAGGGCTATTTTTAGAAATGATTATACTGTATATGTACCTATACATACATATATATACACTTTCGTTTTTTCAGTTGACCTTTTTTTTTGTTTTTTTTCTGGTACCGGGAATTGAACTCATGACCTTGCGCTTGCCAGGCAGGCACTTTCGTTTTTCTATTCCTTTAAAAAAGTGTTAACAGATAAAAAAATTAAAAGCCCGGAAATCTGAAGGTACAATCTCCCCAAAGAACTTTATTTCCTGACAAACTTTATGTCTATGATTAGCAGAAATTTATCAGCAAATTTCATTTCAGTTTTTACCTAAGGTTACCCGGGCTCTCCTGTCCACACAGAGTTTTCTTTTACAGAAACATGCACCATAAGTTGATAATAACTCTGAATTCACAGGACAATGACCTCCTCTAAGCAGGCAGAGTTGCCTGTCCAAATCAAGACAACATAAAGCATGCTCTCCAAGTTACAGAACAGCTCCATGTTAAATAACCTCATATGCATGTGAACACCACAGAATAATGGATAAGGTGGTATGACTGTTTTTTACACTTACACGTTTAAAACTTCCATGAGCAAAACTTTACTAAAAATACTAAACCTTTCCATTGTCATAACATTAACTTTTAATGAAGTTTAAACACTCAGTCGACTTACAATTTTTTGACTTTACAATGGTGCAGAAGCATACACACACAGCCACTGTTTCCCACTGTCAGTGCAGGATTCAGTAAATCCCATGAGACATTCAACACTTTATTCCGAGCACATTTAAGGTGGGCTGGCATAAGTTACGGGCTAGAGCACCTGGACTGGCCATCCACAATACTCGGCAGTATTTCTCCCGAGTATCTGTCCTCGTGTAACCAAGAAGTCAAACCCAACAAGCTCATTCTTGTTCGGGCCTGGTCATTTCTCAGTCGTGATGACAAGTACAGCGACAGAAGCCCTACCTTGAGAAGTTCAATAAGTCTGCATAAGGCCTTCACCGAGGTCTTGGTCATTGGCTTCTGCATGGACAGGTAGAGATTCATCGTGGTCTTAATAATGGTACTAATGCTATAGGCATAAAGGAAGCCCTGTGAAAGAAAAGGGTTAGTATAATCACAAGGGAAGATTTCACTTCTCCAACACTTCATTCCATGTAATAATTCCACAACTTCCCAGTAACTACTTGCTCTTAAAGCCAGCTCTAATATTCCTCCTTGCAGAGATAACGTGATACACTGATAGCTGTTTCAAAGCACCCCATGAAGTTTATTTAGAATATCACATGCCAGACATTTAGTACTGTTCAGACTACAGCACATAATTATTTTTTAAAAAAATCTTTCCATTAAAAAAAACCTTCAGAGAAATGATATATATGCAGCGTGTTATCTAAGTGTCCTTATCTTACCTGCCAGCGGAGAGAATAAAGCCCCACCTGTTGCCACTTAGGGCAAGAGCTAAGGACCTTTACAGAGTTAAGAAATGAAAAATGAGAAAGAACTGCTTTCTGACCAGTGTGGGCCTGCAAAGGAGTTAAGAGCTATACACCGTGCTTCCTTTCCTCTTTACCCAAACCAGTCCTGTCGATCTGCTACTCCTTCTTTCCTCTGGCCAGTAAGTACACTCTCTCCTCCTACTCCTGAAGGAAGTGCAAGTCTTGCAAGATTTTAAATATTTAATGCTATTAAACTCAGAGAAACAGGAAAAAAGAATACTACTTCTTACATGTTTTCATTTAAACCTAAAAGGGAGGCAATGGCAACACAAAAAGAATGACGGAGTTTCTTTGGGCTTGTAAGGGTTCCAAAAAGATGTGACCACAGGGTTGGCCAAGGGGGCAGGCAGCCTTTCACACCTGCAAAAAGGCCTCCCTCTCCCCTCCCAGCAGCGACACAGCTCTCTGCAAGGGTCCTCAGCGGGGTGGAGAGAGATCCTCTCTGACTATGGCTTTGTGAAGACTGGTGCCACATTAAAACAATCCAAATGAAATGGGGTGCGGGCCACCCTAAGAAAGGTAACAGCACGACCAAAGCTTGAGGCCCTTGTACATAGGGCCACCAGTCTCACCCTGTCAGTGCAGGACCATTCCAGCAGACCCTGCCCAAGGGCAGCACTGGGGAAAGTCATACAGCACAAACGCAGCAGGCCAGAAAAAGAAGCTCCTGTTTCTTTTTTTCTTTTTCTTTTCCTGGCAAGGCTTAAAGTACAGAACTCCGGCCCACATCTAGGCACAAGCTACATCTGAAGGATGTACTTTAGCATCTACATGAAGAGGAGCAGTCTGCAGTCTGTTACTGTTGATGAGAGTGGCAGCCATGTGAGCCACCCTTCCTGCTGAGAAAAACTAGAAAAGGTAGGCAAACAGGTCTAAAATCTCTTGGGATTGATAGCATCGAAGTGCTATCAAAAAAAATAAAGAAGTAAGTCAACGGGGACAGTGCCCATAACCTCAGCACTCTGGGAAGCTGAGGAAGGAGGATCACAAGTGCAAGCCAGCCTGGGCAACTTAAGGAGACCCTACCTCAAAATAAAACATGACTACTGATGCAGCTCAGTGCAAAGGCCCTGGATCCAACACCCAGTACTACCAAGAAACAAAAGAGAGGGACAGAGAGAGACCTAGAGGGAGACAGAAGCCGAAGCAGTGAGCCTGGCAACTGCAGATGCCTGCACTTTAAGCATCTGCCTTCAATGCTACCCCAAAGGAAGGGGATGAAAATGAGTCCATGAGCCATGAAGGAGGGGATGAGAGTCTTGCACACATCTATCTGGGCTCTGGCTTGGGATCTTGAAAGATAAGCCCCACTGCCCCTAAAACTAAGGGTGAAATGGAAAAAAACTAGCATCATAGGATAGAAGTTCTCCAAATGATTCTGATCCAACAGGCCAGTGAGACCAGGGGCTGCTCACTGTCCCAGCCTAACTGCACTAGCACAAGTTCCTACTATGCCCGGAACAGCAGATCAGACAGAGATAGAGAGAATCGGAACAGAAAGCAAAAAAATACCACAGAAGCTGGGCTTGGCAGTTGGGTGAGAATGTTCCACAAATTCAAGAAGTTTCCAAACCCCAAGCAGCAAAGTACACAGAATTCCACACCTAGAGGCATCCAGGAATGCTGCAAAAACCCGAAGTCTAAATCTTTTTTTTTTGTACCAGGAATCAAACTCAGGGCCTTGCGCTTGCCAGGCAGGTGCTGTGCCACTGCTACATGCCTGGCCCAAAGTCTAAATTTTATAAGCAATGAAGACCTATTATATTTGCAAAGCAACAAACTAACAGCTGAGTTCAGCAAAAACAAAGGAAGCCAAAAGACAATAAAAGGACATGTTTGAAAGCTGGGTGAAAAATTCCAGCCAGCCTAGCAATTTAACACAGAAAAACTGTTGAAAATAGTTGTACCCAAAACCAGTAATTCATCAACAGAAGCTCATATTAAGTGCAATACCAGTAGGCCTTCCATAAACAGAAGGATAAAACACATGAAAAAGATGCAGAGCAGATGAGAAGCAACAACAAAATGAACAACTTCACAAGGAAATCTCAGCATCGGCGGTGAACATGACTGCAGCAACAATGCTCTGAGACTGAAATCAGAGAGGATCAAAGTCCATCACAGCGGCAAAGGAAGTGGGAGGGTAACAAACAGCACGCAAGTGGCTTTCAGCCCTTACCCCATCTGGAAAGTGGTAAAACAATGAGTAAATGATGCATCTTGAAATCTCCAGAGTAACCACAAAAAGCACAAACACATTTTGAATTAAATAATGAAAATGTAACATACCTAAACTTATGGGGTACAGCTACACAGTCATGCGCTAAATGGAATAAAGGTAGAGCTCTGAATGGGTCCATTAGAAAATGTAAGTCAAACTGATGCACACATAAATCAATTTGTTCTAAAATAAAAACAGCCTATCCTTTCCAAGTTTTTTTTTCCAAATATACCCTCTGAAAATTAAACAAGAAGTTACCCCAAAACAGCCTAAGCAAGAAGATGGAATTACCTGTATGAAAACATTACATCTGTTGGTGAGGTCTTCAGCAAACTTATCCATTCTTTGCTCTTTAGATAAAATTGATTCCATTTTCATCATCCATGAGCTCACAAAGACGTAGTAAGATTGCACATCTCTAGGGGGGAAACATTGGGGTCACTCAGCACAGGAAAGAAATTTACTTCCATTTCTTCATACTGATTGCAAGAAAATACAGCCTAACAGCACCCATTCCACTTCCTGCTTTTTAAAAGATGTTGTATTCAACAAATATTTCCTAAGTCCACAGAAGCCACATACTGTTTTTTGTACTGAGAACAAAACGTGTAAATTCCTGCCCCCATGAAAATTGTATTTTAGAAAGGAGAGCTGTACAATGGGGCTGGGGATTTAGCTCAGCGGCAAAAGCGCCTGCCTGGCAAGCGCAAGGTCGTGAGTTCGGTTCCCGGTACCGGAGAAAAACCAAAAAATAAAAAATAAAAAATAAAAATAAAATCCTACAATAATTAAAAAGATGCCAACTGAGGCACGCTCTGGAAAAAGTAAGGCAGGAAATAGGACAAGGACTGGGGTAGGTGTATAATTTTACATGGAATAATGAAAGCAGGCTGAGTAGATGATTTTGAGCCAAGTCTGAAGCAAGTGAATGAGTAATCCACACAAATATGTGAGAGAAAAGAGCGAAAGCGAGGTGAGCACCAAGTGCCGATGTCTGAAGGCGGCTGGCAAGGAACCATCTGTGTTTAGGTAGTAACGAAAATGTCAGCGTGGCCAGACCACAGGCGGCAGGGATGAGATCAGAAGAGGAGAGGTGTGCGGTGGAGGGCAGGGAAGGGGCTGGGGAGGCCTTCTGCAGGGCAGGATGTCAACTCTGGGAAGCCATCAGCAGGGCCTGCCCTGCGATGATGGGTCAAAAATAAACCGCAGGTGGACAGCAATGCTTTGCTTGGGAAAACCAGCCAGGAAGCTGGAGGAGCAGTGCAGGAGAAAGAGAATGCCAGCTCAGCCAAGCAGGAACCACCCAAGTGGTCAGAATCTGAACTTAGAAGCTGCCAAGCGCTGTGTAAGCCTTGCTTACACAGAGGAGCCTGTCCAACCCTCCTGTCACCTGCGAGGGTGGTTCTACTGCTGGTACCTGCCACAGGGAAGGTGCGTGTCAAGATCACACAGCTACAAGCAGCCTCGCCAGGATTCAAGTGCGAGTCTAGAAAGCTTTCCCACCCAGAAAACACGAAGGCAGTAACTCCTGCAATTCTCTCCACTACTCAGGGTGACCACAAACACTATCTCAACCCAGGCAACCTCAGATAGGAAGCTTCACCACCCACAAGCTGTTCAAGTGATCCTTCTTTTGCTCTCCATTTAAAGTGTGCAAAAAACAGGCAATTCATCCTTCCTTAGGGAATCTGACTACTGACTTTCCAAAAACCTGCCGGGACACAGGTGATGTCCCACTGCTGTCAGGCAGCATCAGCGGAGGAGGGCTCTCCGGGGCCAGGGATGAGGATGCCACCCGGGTAAGGCCAGAATCCCACAAGGAAGCGGGAGCCAGGCACACTGGCAGTCCATCAGTCCATCTCCACCGCTCAGTCTGAAGAGGGGATACACCAAAGTCCCCAGGAAATGTGCTCTAGGGAGGCAAAACCCCACCATAAACTCTGAGAAAAATGGTTTCTGCAGAGCAATGACTTACCCAGACAAAATACACCAAAAGGCTCGGCTTTGCTTCCTGCAGTGCTGGACGACACTACCTGCTCTAGGTTCAGAGTATGGCCCAAGAAGCCTCAGGACCCTGGAGCAAGGCTCCTCCCCTCCCCATGGCCAGCGTCAGGGCTCTCAGGGCTGTCAGGCACAGGACTGGCTGTGGGCAAGGGCCAGAGGAAGAGGCCTAGACCACAAGGTGCTCCCCGACAGCTCTGAGCCAGGTGACACTGCAGTACAAAGGAGGCAAGAAAAGCATCCCGCAGGCCTCTGACCAGACCAAGCAGGAGAAAACAGGGTTCCGTATCACTTCCACCTACCATGCTCACATCAAGAGGCCAGGTGATGCCTCTTGCTAAGTCTAGAAAAATGAAACTGCTTCAGGTTTCAAAAAGCAAGTAAGCTGGCCCAGATCATAAAATGGCCAAGAGTCCTGTCAGATTACCAGCATCATTTCAAATACGAACAGTACCACCACTAAGAAAAAAACAATGCATCTCCTGCCGTGATCAAAAGCACCGAGCAGCGGCCACACAGGTGTGTCCACGGGGGCCTGGAGGGTAGGTTCGGACTTCTAGCCCACCAAATGGCTGGCAGTAAAAGCACACGCAGTGGCCCACAAGCACTGGAGCCAAGGAAGGAGGTGGCCGGGTGCTGACTGTGGGCCATACACGGTGCAGGGGTGGAGAACTGCCCTCTGAGCTCTGTCTCCACTTTCCCAGGGCCTGGCCTGCAGCTCCTGTGGCACCCTTGGCTCTCTGAACTGTTGGGGTGGACTGTCGGGACAAGGCCTGTGCTGGTCATCGTCCTCTCCCGCTCCATTTCACTTTGGTGGATAAACCTTAGGTTTCCTTGGCAAAATTACAAGAAGGCAAAACATACCCCACCACCAGCGCCACACAGCTCTACACAGTGACTGCACAGACTCATCTCTGGAATCACAGAATTGGGAAACAAATTTCTCAACAAATTTGGGGAATCTTTGAAAGTGAGCTTATCCCTCTCCACCTGCAGGACAGGACTCCCTTCCTACACATATGGGGCTGGCGGCCCACACTGCCCAGATGGCCTGGAGGCAGGCAGCACACACCTCACGGTGGCCTATGCTACACCACCCGCACAGACACTGGGAACACAGCGCCAGTGTGAGTGCCTGTGTGCCCAGCCAAGTTTACTTCACCAAGCCTAACTCTCCTTACTTAAAAACGGGCACCTGGAGTGGCAAAGCACTCCTATAAACCAGCACCGGGAACCAACAGTGTAAGTGCTCTTCTGGGCAGCCAGACTGAGGTGCAGGGAGACACGGGGCTGGGAACATCTCTTTTTTTCCGTTAACTTTTAGCACTTTGTAACTTTGTAAATATGTGCAAATGTTACTTTCATAAAAATAAAAATGGGAGGATATCAAGTTAGAGGGAAAGCCTCCAAAAATCATCATGGGTGCTCAATTTTTGTATCATCAGATGGTATCCATGGCAAGTAAATTGACAGCTGACAAAAAGGTGTGTGTGGTGATCAAGTACAATTTGCCTACATCTTAAACTGAAAAGTTCCTAGAAAACAGAGCCCCCGGAGATTGCCAACCTTTCTCTGGTAACAAGGAAGTCCATTTTACCTTACGATTCAAGCGCCTGCAATATAAGATATCTGAACACTTTCATTGTAGTTACTTAGAAAACCTACTTGGTAAGTGCCTGAGCCTTCTGCTGCAGGAAAGTGTCCCTGTGTATTTTAATGCCTTGGAGACTTTTTCTGTCTAGAAGTTTGGCAGCTGCTGGTATTTTCTGGATCAGAAAATTATCAGGAAACCAAATAATATTAGCAGTTAGAGTGATGGCCGGTACCTGAAATAGTAAAGGCAAGGGGGAAACTCACTAAGTACAGACTAACAATTCATTTCAGGAAAAAATAACTACACACACACAGAAAAACTTAACATACATTGCAGCAGGGTGAAAGCATTTCTATACCAGTGTTCAAGTATGACCTTTTTCTGCCTAAACATTAGTATACGCATGGATATATACGATACAAATTTTTCACAGATTTAGCAATGCATAAAAATATGCAAAAAGCAGACACCTGAATCCTTATATCCTTATTTTCATTCTGTATTAGTGATGAAAAAAACATGCAAAGATGGCTAGGTTCTCACAGACTCTGTGTGTAGATAAAACTAAATTTTAAAATCAGGTTTCTTGCAATGGAAAGAGTACAAATGTAGAAAGAACTAAAATTTTTTCTATGTCAACAGTGAGAATGAGTGGCAAGAGAAGGGGAAAAAAAGAAGGTGAAAATTAGCATCAACAAAAGAAACCAAATGAACAAGTAGAAATCTGAACATCTACCATATACATGCTCACATAAAGGAGAATTACAGACTAAAGGCCAGGAGGAACGGCATTAACTATGGGCTAAGATGACTCACTTCAAGAAAAAATAACCACGCACAAAATCATCTTATAATAAAGGGAGACAAATACCCTATTGCAGCACAGGGTGAAAGCTACACTTCCACTGATTAGATTAACTTATTCCTGGAAAGTATGGATTTTAGAAATGACACTATCAAACTACTTTTGTAAATAAGAATAAAATGCATTTTTAAAATCCACTTATGCAAATTCTTTTTAATGTACTCAAATTGAAAAAAAGTTCTAAGTTCTTACCTTCTTACAAATGTCCAATAAAGACTTATAAAACTTTTTATCAACAGTTCGAAATATCTGAAAGTACAGTACAAAGAGTCCACAGATTCCAACATACTTGTCCCTCTGGTCAATTTCTGAAGGTTCTCCTTATAAACAGTAACAAAAGAGAAAAGCAGAACAAAGATACTTCAATTATGCTTTTAAAGAAATGCAAACTTTATCAATTAAAAACTCAAAACTGCAATTTATATTACCAAGTTTGGCTTCTACATTTGCAAAAATCGAGCGAAGACTATGTGCAAATTCTTCAGCAAAAGTGCTATTTTTGGACACAGGTACTCCTCCATTGAGAGAATCAAACTGCTGTTCTATACAGGCCTACACAGGAAACAGTGAAGAGAAATTTAGTCTCATTAATGAGCTATCAAACATTTGACATGTTGTGTGATGAGCCTGGGTCGTTAGTTATTTTAATTTTACCAAGACTGAAGCTTAGGTTCTTACTTTAACCAATTATCTAAATCCTTTGGCTTGGAAAGTACTTATGTACTTCCATATCCAAGCACAAGTTATGTGAAAGTCACACAACTGGACCCCATAACAGCAAGGAGCCACAGACAGGCACAGAAACTTGAGGTTCAGATCTATAGAGAAGAGCCACATAATTATTTTAAGACGATGAAATTTATTATAAAAGCACAGCAGGGGGCTGGGGATTTAGCTCAGCGGCAAAGCGCCTGCCTGGCAAGCGCAAGGTCATGAGTTCGGTTCCCGGTACCGGAGAAAAACCAAAAAAAAAAAAAAAAAAAGCACAGCAGATCCGAACAGAGTCAAATAATATATTACCACACTACGAGGCAGGGGCAGCACCAGAGATGAAGGATCTTGTATGATGGACAGGTGAGACAGAAAATGCTATACTGTATCGTTTGTTAGTTTCTTAAGTACTGTGTTCAGACAAAAGGACTTGGTGCCAATAGGCCTGGATGGCCAGAAGGCATTATCCCCAAGCGTGGCTAGACTCAAAGACACACACACTGACAGTGCACTCACGGCTTTCAGTAAATAACATTTTCTTTCCCAAAGGAAATAGCTTTTTCTGAGGAATAGAATACAGCTGAGTTCATTCAGCAAACAGTTGTATTTTGCTGACTCATTGTTTTAACCCTTTTCCTGACAACCCCAAATGTCTCACAATGAGTAAAGAGTCACAAAGTGATGTTCAGAGAAGTGTACAAAAGATATTTTCATTTTATTTTATACTTTTAAGAGTAGAGTTTGTACTTGCTGTTTATAGTTACTCTGTTAGCACTTTAGCATAGCAAATATGGAAATGTTCTTTGGAAAAAGAAAACCAGAAATTATTTTCTGAATCTAATGGACTAACAAATGGGTAAAAACAAGAGTTAAGTCAATCTGTGAAACCACGATCATATAAAATACAAACTAAAAGTAACTCTGATGTAGATGTGAAATGGGATTGAATGTAATTTCCATAAGCCTTAGAAGAATTAACCAGATTTTTTAAAAAGTAGACTCACAAACCTAAACATAACATTTAACACAAATGCTCTGGTTTTAATTTTAATCCTTAGAAAGTTTTATCCATTTACACAGTATTTCTAAAAACTTTCATGTCAAGCACAGCCTGTCACTGTCTGCTACTGCATATACTAACAATCTATTGAGCCAAAGCACTTTTCAAAGGAAAACAAATTCAACAGCATTCTATAAAAGTACCTGCAATTCTGAGCTCAATCAGCTGAGACAAGCCCATCTGCTGCAGCAGGCACAGCCCCACCTACCTGGAATATCATCCCATCAAGCAACTGTCCTTCCAGCCTCAGCAGAAACTTTTCAAATGGCTTTAGTTTTTCTTCCTGAATTCCAAATTTTGAAGGGTTGTGATGGACAGATTTCATTAACCTGAAAAAAAATTATGAGAAAGAACTTAAATCTACCTAATGGAGTCTTAAAAACTAAAGCTTTTCCCAGAAATCAGAATAAGTTATTTTTATTTGGCTCTACACATCTTTTTTTTTTTTTGTACCAGGACTCGAACTCAGGACCTTGTGCTTGCCAGGAAGGCACTTGTGCAACTGAGCTATATCCTCGGCGCGGCTCTACACATCTGAACATAACAATCTTAATTTATTTAATTTTCTTGTGCTTTTTTTTCCATCCTAAATTCAGATGTCTGATAACAAGCATTTAATGAATATAAACAGAATAAAATACGAAAGTTCTGCAACAAAACGAAATCAAGCTCAGACAAACTGTTAAACAGAACCCAAGAGAAAATACATCTGTGTCCTAAGGTGGGCAAATTAATATTCTACTGCACTATGAATAAGGATGCTTTATACGGTTGTATCTTTCTCCCAAATCCACCTCAAATTAACGAACAGTTCTATCTTCATAAAAATATCTGACATGAGCTCCTTACAGATTGCCAGTTCTTTGGTCTTTTAAAAGATCTAAATTATTTATATCTGTTTACTCTTTACTAATCATTAACCATAGAAAGTAGGAGAATATTTTAAAACACTTTAGCTGATATACCTTTTGTACATGGTCCAGTGGTCTTTCAGAGTGATGTGATTATCAATAATCTCATCCAGGGTGAGCAAAACTGTTAGCAGTTCTCCCAAGTGTTCATACATTGTCTGTCAAAAAACATTTAATGATTATTATTCAGTCACCAGTTAGAAGTTAAGCCTCACGTAGATTTTTTTTAGATGTACGCATGTATTTATTTTGGTTTTTTGAGACAGGGTTTCATTATGTAGTTCAGGCTAGCCTCAAACTTGCGGCAATCCTCCTGCCTTAGCCTCCTGAGTGCTGAGATTACAGGCATGTGCTACCACCATGTGCCTGGCTCACATAGATTTTTAAAGCAAAACATATTTAGAGAAATTGCTAAATTAGTTAAAACGGGGATAAAATCAATTTAAGTTACAGTTTGATACTCAAATAGGATATTAGCTTCTGTGCCAAAGAAAGACTATCTGAAAACTGCACTAGGCTGCTTCTGGGAAAAAACAAAGTTACTCTGACGTGAGTCAACAGTGCCCATCAGCGACACATAAAAGACGGCAAACAATGATAAACAAACACCTTTGTCTTGCTATAGCTACTGTATTTTCCAATTGCACAAACTCTAAAGATATAGTAAAAATTAGTTTTACATATTTACCTGAAAATGAACTCCAGTTGTCTCTATAATTTTGGGTGCGACCCTGTAATAAAAAACATACAAGATAAGAATTCATTTTGCAGCCACAATGCATTCTTATCTCCAGGAGTATGCACAGGAGCAGCAGCTGTTGGAATTCTGATGTGCATTTGTGTTTACTGAAGCTTGATTGACTAAAACTCAAGAGACCTGAGGAATTATCCCAGACTCCATCTTCCCGTGAAGGAACCGACTTGTGCACCCAGTGGAGGAGGACACATGGCCTGGGAATAGCCTCAGTGTTTCAACCTCAAGGACCTGCCTTGGGGTGGGAGAGAAGCAATCACAGAACCAACGTTCATATCTTTCTAAACTATCAGAGCTTCTCCACTAGCAACTAGAGTCTTTTTATCCTATCCAAATTGGCATTTGGGTAGAACCCTATTTTAAGCCAGGCTGACTTCTGAGTTCATTCCCATTGAAAAATAATGCACATTTCTAAGAATATACCACAGTCAAAAGTCAAAAATTACATTTTTACTTCCTGCCCAGATACTTAAGATAGTACTTACATATTAGTTACCTATAGATATTCCAGAAGAGAGAAGACATAACTTAAAACTAAACAGAAAATTCAGATAGATCCCATCCTCCAGGGCAGGGAAGGGGTTGGGGAGACCTCTAGAACCACACAAGGACCACGGAGCTGAGGGAGCTACACGCTCTCTCCTGCCCCCAGTACAGATTGCATTCAGCTGTCGCCTGTGTCACATGTCAGTCTTTCCTGTCAACTTTCTCATTCAGACCAACAGTAGCTTCATGCAACGTGGCAGAAGTTGTGCCTCATTAATCTACACAATGTACACATCAAGTAGGACTTAAACATCACAGGTGTTCAGAGAACGCTAAACGAATGGAGGGAGCAAAAATCTGTTTCAGAGTGTTCAGGAAAACATTCCCTGCATCTCTATTCCACAAGCAGAAGTCCTTAAGTCCATTACTTGTTACTGACGTAGAGGGCAGCCAGCTGATGGACTACATTCATCACCACTTCGTAGCACCTCGTGACAAAGCAAGACAGTTCCTGAAATGACAAGTGCAGGATATGTTACAAAGCAGCTTTTGATATGTCACCATTTTTAAACTGAATTTTATGATAACATAGCTATCATTTCCAGTGAAATCTCCAATCACCCAGCAGCCAACTTAAGCACCCCTCAAGCACTCAGGACTTAACTCCCCTCTGTGTCCCAGAGCTGCTCCTACCCCTGCTCTCCTCCATGTCCTCCATAATTCTATATTAAGCCTACTGTCTCAGCTACCTATATAGCTTCTAGGTGACAGGGACTGTCTCATTCTTCTGGAACATCCACTGTCTGCTATGGTGGCTAATATTTAACTGCTTCTCAAGAAATTTATGTCCTATCATATGAGTAAGTCAATGAGCATCTAAACGGAGGAGTTCAGAGGCTGCCAGTTTAGCACATATGCTGGCAGTGGCGGGGGAGGGAGGCCCTCCAGAACTCACTCTGAAATCACTACATTTCTCATTCATAGTTGTATTTGTAAGTGGGCTTAGAACACAGCAAGGGAAGTATCAGTTATCCTAGCAATATATTTGTCCTTAAATGAAGTCACAAAAATAGATAAAATTAAGTCACATCTACCTTGCCCCAGACCTTCTAGAAACTTGTCTGTAGAGGCTCTCAAGTTTTAAACCTATAGGAATAGCCTGTAGCTAAAATATTTAATGCCTGATTAAACCATGCCTACTCTAAGCTTTCAGCTTTAAAAGAGGGCAGGAGTTTCTGTATCACCAAGAGCAGTTTCTAACAGATACTAGGCTCATGAAACATACTCGTTCAACCTTTACAGTTAGAACTTTTGTACAGCTATCACTACAACTCAAAACCAGTTTAAAGTTTCTGGAAATTAAAAAAAAAATGAATTTTAAACAACTGTAGTTTTACATTTGTTATTAAAGCTCTAACACTTAAGTGAAAGCAGAGAAAATATCAGAAAATGCAAGACAAACAGAAAGCACAAAGTAAAAAGGCAAGGAGGCCCAGATACATAAACAAGACTACACAAGACAGAAACAGAGTAAGTTAACCCACTAAGCCAGATACTGTCAGACTGGTTTTTTTTTTATTTATTTATTTACTTATTTTTTGTCTTTTTGAGACAGGGCCTTGCTATGCAGTTCAGGCTGGGCTTGAGCTCACTTTGTAGCCCAGGGTGGTCTCGAACTCACAATGATCCTCCTGCCTCAGCCTCCCAAGTGCTGGGATTACAGGCGTGCGCCACCATGCCCAGCTGTCAGATAGTTTTTTAAAAAAAGCAAAATCCAGACACAGCCACCTGTGCTGACCAACAGAGACACATTCTGAGAACCATCAGTAGATTTAGCTGTATAAGCACCAGAGTGTACTGACACAAATCAATATAGCTGTGAAATCACCAGGAATCTAACATTAGGGGACATTTGTCATAAATATGCCTTGCTGACCAACACACTATTACACATGGTGCTACATGCAGTTTTAAAGAAATGCCAACTGAAATATGACAATAGAAGTCTAATGGAAAAAGATAAATCAAGAAAACACCAACACAGAGCTAAACAGGAATACTGTCATTGGATAAAGACTTTATTAGCATCACTGTAGCTAATTACTAAAAAGAGGACCTCATCCAAAATGCTTCAAAGCAGAGTGCTTCAAATTTAAGTCTTTGGATTTGGAATATTTGCATATACATAATGAGATGATCTGAGGAAAGAATCCAGTTGAAATATGAAACTCATTTAGGTTCATGTATACCTTACACATAGCCTGTGGGTGGGTTTATACACTATTTTTATTAATTTCAGGTGTGAAATTTTCCACTTGTGATGTTATTGTAGACAGCTAAGTCAGGCAGAAACATCACAGGCAGTGAGACAGGGCTGGGCCCTTGAGGGAGTCAGTGCAGAAGATGAAAGCACATGACAACTGTGGCTAGAAGTACATCCTCGTCCACTGAAGGCTAAAGATAAAGACAGAAGCCAGGTGTGATGGCGTACACCTATAATCCCAGCACTTAGGAGGCTGAGGCAGGAGGATTGTTGCAAGTTCAAGACCAGCCTGGACTACAAAGTGAGTTCAAGGCCAGCCTGAACTGCATAGCGAGACCCTGTCTCAAAAAGATCAAAAAAAAAAAAAAAAAAAAAAGATAAAGACGAAATGACCAGGGTTACATGCCTCTCCAAGGGATAAGCAGTAACTTGAAATTGTACTATGATTGGTATCACCTGGTCCAATAAATTCTAGCTAAAGATCAGTCACCCAGGTGGGTGACCAGAACATTGGACCCTTCCCTTCCTAAGAATGCCTTTGTTCTTTCCATGTACCCTTCCTTGCTGCATGACCTGCTTCCCTACTGGATCACTATTAGCTAAGCAGCTATACTTATAATCTTTAGTTGATCACAATATGAAGCACACTGTACCACTTTGTAATTCTGTACCCACCTCATGACTTTGCTCTATAGAACACGCTCAGAGAAGTGGGCTTTGTGGTCAACCACTTTCAGGTCCCCTCCTATCTCTCAGGAGCTATCTCTCCATAAATTTTTCCTACTCTTAACCTTTTTTGTTCCTCAGAATTTATTCTTTGATTTCAGAAAACACAACTCAGCAAATCTGTCATCTACCAGATTGGCAGATACATGTTCCCCTATATCAATGTCATGTCAGTGCTTGAAAGAATTCAAATTTTGGAGCATTTCAGATTTTGGATTTTTAGATTAGCAATTTCCAACCTTTATATATGTTATAGATTTTTATATATTATATATGTAATTACAATCACAGCTTAGAAGAGTCACCATATAAAGATAAAAGATTTATCACTAGCAAGTCTAAACTTGTATGCACTGAATAAAATACCATCAAAATAAGAAATGAAGAATTTGATAAAACTAAGAGGAAAAACTAAAAACTGAGGCACTCCCTGAAATAAGACCCTACGAACTACACTGCTTACACACCTTCCTGGCCAGCAGGCTTCCTGCTCAGTTCTGTCAACAGGGCAGGACAAAGGACTTCCCTTCTAATTTTGCTGTCTTGATTAAGCTAATCTAGTGGGGAGCAGTTCACCTCAACAAAGGATGTTTGCAAGAGCATCACACTCCAAAACTAACCTCAAACCACCCTCTCAGGGTAGCGGGAAGAGCCAGGCAAGGGCCACATCCTCACAGGCATGAGCATCATCTCCAGGGATTGCTTCTGCACTCTGACCAATCTGACCACTTGTCCTTTTGTTTCCTGGACACTTCCCTTATATTACCTCACTGTTTTGTTCTTTCAGCCCTCCAACTTCTGTGTAATCAACTCTCCATACTAAATCCCCTTTTTAAAAACAAATTAGTATTATTGTGTATATCCAAGATCTCTAACATGTTATGGGATACATGCAGACAGTAAGATGGTTACTACAGTGCAGCAAATTATCATCTCATATAGGTCCTTTTTGTTTTTGTAACAAAAGCTGTGAAAATCTACTCATTTAACATCAATGCCATATACAGGATGATTTTATTACCTATTACACTCATGTTCCACATTAGGTCTCTAGGGTTCTTTTGCATATCTGCCACTTTGTATCCTCTGACCTACCTCTTCTAAAAGGCCTTGTGTAATCTGTTTTCTAGACAAGTCCCTGAATAACACATGCTATATTATCAATAAAATGATGTTTAGGTTGAACAGACCTCCCCCAAAACAGTCATGAAGATATGAAAGATTTGAACAATATGTTAGCATACTTCGTTTGGTGAAAGAGATCAAATCTTGTACTCAACAAATACAAGGGAGGGGTACTATAGGTATTTTTTCCTTGTCTCCAATTTTTGCTTTTACACATTGTATATTAGTTGTCATAATAAGGAGAGGAGAGAAGAAGGAGAAGTTGTATCATGCTTTTAGAAAAACTAAGCCAAAGACCTGGAAAGAGTAAAGCTTCTACATTAAAACATTCTGCAAGAAGCATCAAGTGCTGCTGTGTTTAAGAACCTCGGCATTGCTCGTGCAACTGCTTCATTCTATTTACAACTTTTGTAACTGATCCCGCTGTTTAAGTTTGTTTAAAAGGCATCTTAACAAACTGTTCATGAATTAAACTAGACAAAGAAACTTATTTTAATACTTATTGTCCTCAAAATGCCTGGAACTCTCTCAAGAAGTATAATCCCCTAAATTAGAACACAATGATAACTAAGGATCCTATGCTCGAAGTATGTACCTGTTAAGGTTTGTGTCTGGGTGTCCCCCCAAAGCCTCATGCGGCCATGGGGCAGGCTTTTAGAGTTTGATTGATTATGGGTGTGAAAGCTACACCCGCCCTGGGGTGGATAGTTTGCATATGTAAGGGAGAGGAAACAGGGTGCTTCTGGCCATTTCCTCCCTTATGTGTGTGCTTGTTGCTCTGCTGTGTTCTGCTGCCGTGAGCTGCAGCCCTCTGCCATGTGCCACTCTGCCTTGTAATCTGCCAAGTATGGACTAAGACCTCCACAAACTGTAAGTGAAATAAACCTTTCTTTCCTTAATTCTGGGCATCAGGTATTTTGTCCCAGCAACGAGAGAAAAGTAACCAAGACAGGACCCTTAGCATTTGAAAGTTTTAGAATTTTTAAACTTATGCAAGCTTTTAAAAGAAGAAGTACAAACAGAAAGAAAGAATCAGTTACCTGTAAAAATGCAATAAATCTCCCCATTTGAATCTGGCAATCACCTTCCACCATACTGGTATCTGTAGCTTTAAAAGGCAACATTAAAAATTGTATTTCAATTTTTTTATTTAAACTCAACACCAAAAAACAAGTGATTTTTTTAAAATTAGGGCATTTTTTAATCTGCAGAGTACTGAAAACACAGAATATTTTACACTAAAGAGGGAAATGAGACAATCATTAATCACTCAAGGAAAATGTGCATCTAGTTATGTACAGAACTGGTGAAAGTATCAAAAAATCAGTTTCAGAGAATTTGCTTTTGCCTCATCATTTTTTTCCCCTAATTTAACCAGACTAACAAAAATGTGAATGCTCGTTTTCTCACATTACTTGATCATGTCATTCCTAAAACTGTCCGAACTTTTTGTTCTTTTCAGTCTTACATCACAATTTTGTAATTTTGAAACTTACCTCCTTCTCCATAAAACAGGAGACCATTATAAAACTTAGTTTCAGCCTGTTTAAAAAAAAAATAATTTCACGGGTTATTTTGTTTGTGACTTCTTTGACTCTCTTAGTTCTCTGTATCACTAACAGTGGACTGGCCGGGGATATAGCTCAGCGGCACAGTGCCTGCCTGGCAAGTGTGAGGTCATGAGTTCGATTTCCAGTACCCAAAAAAAAAGTAACAGTGGACTAGATCACCTATATACAAATTTAAATTCCAAACACTGCTTGTAAGTAAACTCAACTTATCTTGAGAGCAACAAGACCTTACTGGTATTCAAAGCACTCACTGACTCCTTGAGCCCTTTGTCTTATCTGACCACCCACACTGCCCCACATCCTCCCACTAGTTCCCACACACTAACCACAGAGCGTCAAAGAGAAAGAAAAAAGATGAAGTTTACCAGCTTCTACCAGAGTATCAGCAGCTCAGTAAGGAAACACAAGACTACACGGGGCACGCTCAAAGCTTCCTTAACAAAATCAGCTCCACCCAGCTAGCACGCACACACGTGGCCAGCAATACCGACTCTGAGTGATACAGAACCAGCTCTGAACTGTGACTCCCAGGAGCTACCAGTCAAGCGGCAGCTTCTCAGAGCCTCAGCTTCTTCACCTACTATTCCCCCGCCCCCAGCCGGTGCGAGGGCTAACAGTGCCAGCCTCTGTCGGCCCAAAGCACTCAACAGCTGGGAGGGTTAATATTAGCATGACTACCCATGGTAGCATACGCATTATTAAGTCATTTAATATTCAATATGCATTACACGCTAGACACATGTATATGTCTTTAGATGATCCGCTTTTAAAGATGTAAGAAAAGAACATTAAGAATTACCTCATATTTTAATTTCTTGATTTCACAACAAAGTGCAGCGTAAACAGTAATGACTTTGTTTAAGACCTAGTTTAATGAGTGAAAAGATAAAACAGAAAAAAGTAAAAACCTGATCACAAAAGCATTGTTTGAAATACATATTTAGGTTTAGGACTTTGTACCTTGTTTTCAGTCTTTATCAGTTCCAACAGGGAAGACTGTTCATAAGGCAAAAGCTATAGAAACAAAAGAAAAGCATATTTGAATTTGAAAAATCACGGCAATTTTAAATGCACAAATTAAGCCTAGTTAAATTTTAGCCTAATTAAATTTGAACTTGTGTTGACCCTGCACCCCAAGCTCACATCAAACCAACTATTTTAGTTCAATGCAATCTCAACAGACAAAAAAATCAGGAAGTCAATCGACGGGTGAAGAAAGGACGCACAGGGACACAACCCGCGGCAGGGACTCTTGCTGTGCTCCAGGATACGCGTGCCAGGTACGAAAGCAAGGCAGGAGTGTGGTGAGAGGAAGACCTTGCAGTCCTCGTTCATTACACAGGCGCAAATTTAGTAAAATACTACCATGGAAAGGGTCAAAGTAAGTTATCACAAAGGACAGACAAGGAAGAAAACAGAAAATACCATTTTTTCTTGTATACACCCACGGCCCAGAAAACCTAAAATACAGTACCGTCCACCTGCCTTCTAAGACTACCTCAATTTCCCCATCTTCATACAACACTCCCAGTGAACATCCACCCGGCATGTTTCACAGTAAATCGTAGCTCCCTCTTCTGGTGACAAACTTAGCCACTGAGCACTTTATGCAGGCAGACCTCCCCAGCAGGCTGCGCTTTCATTTACGAAGATTCTGTGTTCACGACTCTCCCAACCACACAAGCAACCAGTGTGCACACTACAAACACAAAGTAACAGCCAACGATGGAGTTAGGAGTTCCAAGGGCAGCGGAGGGAACTTATGGTATGGGTCCGTACGAGGAAATTCAAGAGACCAGAACTCATCCACAGAGGAGGGTAAAAGCTGAGAGAAGATTTCAGCCTTTTATAAAACCTGAGAGTTTAAAGAAACTACACAAAACAAAACCAGAGAGTTGAGGCAAACAGATTTCCATGATCATAACTAGAAGCTCTCACAACCAAGAGCAAGTCTTTGAAAACATTAGCAAATGAAAGTGACAAACCCATAAAACTCATTACCCTCCGAGATAATAGGTTGAGGGCTGCACTTTCCTAGAGGAAGTTCTGTAACTTACACATGATGACACTCAACAGCAAAAGGAGACAACAATAAATTTGGGTGAGAAACAATTTGTAAAGGAAATTTACTCAGCCTGCAAGCAAGCAAGTCAAAAGTAACTTAGATTTACAAACACACACACTATTAGTATCGTGGATAAGGGAACAGGTTCTGGAGCTGGTTTGCTAGGCATGTGCCACTTAACTAAACATGTCACTTCGTTTAAATAAGTTGCTAAACTTTTCATGCCTCAGTTTTCTCATTTGCAAAAGGAGATATTATATTTACATCATAGAGCGCTATGGAAGTTAAAAGTCCATCATTTGTCCAACAACGTAACAATGAAAAGCCAAATTAAAAAACAGGCAATGAGGGGCTGGGGATTTAGCTCAGCGGCACAGCACCTGCCTGGCAAACAAGAGGTCGTGGGTTCCATTCCCTATACCAGAGAAAAACCAAAACCAAAACCAAAACAAAACAAAAAAATCTCCAAAACTAGGCAAAGACATATGCCTATAGTTTCTGCTACTTCAGAAGATGAAACAGGAAGACTGCTTGAGCCCAGGAGTTTAAATCCAGCCTGGGCAACATGGCAACATCAAGTTGAAAAAACACAGGGCAAAAGATCAGCACAGACACTTCTCCAAAAACATTAATGACCAGTAAGTACATGAAAAGATGCTAACATCATTTGTCATCACAGGAACACAAACCAAAACCATGAGATGACCATTTCACACCCACTAGGATGGCTGCAATCAGAAACACAGTACAGCCAGGTGGTGGCCACGCCTGTAATCCCCGCAATGAGGGGCTGAGGCAAGAGGATCACCACGAGTCCAAGGCCAGCCTGAACTACACAGCAAGACCCTGTCTCAAATAAATAAATAATAAGTAACTAAATAAGTAAATAAATGGAAGGAAGACAGTAACAAGTGTTGAGAATGATGAGAAGAAACTGGAACCTTCATCTGCTGGGAGAAATGTAAATGGTACAGCTGCACTGGCAAAGTCTGGCAGATCCTCAGAAAGTTACAAGCAGTTACCACAGGACCCAGCAACCTGTCTCTAACAGAAATGAAATGAAAAGGTATGTACACAAAAGCTCATTGTAACATTATTCTTAGAGCCAAAAGTGGAAAAACTCTACAGTCTAAATGGATACCTTATGTGGTAAAGGTATCCCACACAACAGAATACTATTCAATAACAGAAAGAAGTACTGACATACAGTTCAACATGGATGAGCCTAGAATGCACGCTATGTGAAAGGAGCCAGACACAAGGACCACATTTTGTATCGTGCTGCGTCTGTAAAATGTTTGGAAGAGACAACCTACAGAGCTGCAAAGTAAACTGAACTGATCTGTGACTGCCCAGGTCTGGTGGGGGCTGGTGTGAGGGGGGGGGGGAGGAGATGACTACCGATAAGAATTCCTTTCTTGGATGGTAAAAATGTTCTAAAATGTCTTAAATGGTATTGGCACAATTCCGTGGATACACTAAAAACCACCACTACACAATCCAATGGGTGAATTACATGATGTGTGAATTACACATCAAGAAAGCTCTCATAAAAAAGTATGTGATTGAGGCTAGGGATTTAGCTCAGTGGCAAAAGCGCCTGCCTGGCAAGCGCAAGGTCGTGAGTTCGGTTCCCGGTACCGAGGGGGGGGGGGATGTGACTGCGGACAGTATACAGTACCTAAGTGCTTCACAAATAAATCTGCATTTTACAGTATGTACAAAAACCTCAGTAAGAAGAAACAAACAAGGCTTGAATATTCTATCCAACCCTCTTTATTTTCTTGATGAGGAAAAAACAAGGGATAATGCAAAATATCAGAGTTTGTGCTCTTATCTGACACTAAACTCTTTAGGTTTGTACCATTCTTGCAAAAAAACAAATTTTAAAAACACCTGCATGGCTTAGAGAAAAGGAAATTAACAATTTTCAAAGTTTCTTTTCACTGTTAGATTTCAAATAAAAATATATTTGTTTTTTAAAATGACAATGTCAAGATATGGTATGTCTTAAAAGTTATTATATTAATAAAAAAATCAAAACAAACCTTTAGTGCTATAGGATCAAGATTGAAATCCCAAACATCTCCAATTGAATCGTCCAGGGCATCCTCAATTCTTCTCAATTGTGACGTATAATCCTCAAGAAATTTCCCATAATTCTTAAGTTGAACTTCAGCATGAATTTCTAAATTTAAGATTTAAAACAGTGTTAGTAAAATAAGTTACAGAACATTTCCTTCAAATAACTTCACAAGTCAGAGCAAAGCACTGTTAATCATTACTTTGGGATGTCTAAACTGCTTGAAAATAAAGTTCCAAAGTTAAAAAGTCATCCCACTTTTAATGTTTTCCACATACTTAACACAATTTTAAAAACAGCAGGCAGCCTGTTTACCCCATAATCTAGGGCTTCTCACCAGTCTGAACAATGTCTGTCCTAATTTTATGTTTTAGTCATAAATAACTCTGTAGCAAAAAAAAAAAAAAAAAATTATAACCTAACCTGAACTAGCTACCAAAGTCTGTGTTGTCATAGAGTATTTTAAAATATGATTTAAAATATTAATTCTATACTCAGTAAACTGTTCCAAAATACACTTACATTTTTATACCCCTGCCCTCTTTGACAGTATGGGAGACTGAACCCAAGACCTCTGCATTAAGCTACATTCTCAGCCCATTTTATTTTTTGCCTGAGACAGGGTCTCACTAAGTTGCCCAAGGGCTTGAACTTGGAAACTGCCTCAGCCACCCAGAGCGTTGGGATTACAGGCATATGCCACCACGCCCACGTCTAAGTATTTTTTAAATGAAAGCTTTAGACCTGCTGAAATATGGATATTATTCCTGTAACGCCTACAATTTACCAAGACATTTCATTGGTTTAATTATTTAGCTATCATAATTGAGTTGGAAAAGCCAATAAAGAAGGCTAAGTATAGAACACCATGCTATTTGCAGACTGTACACAATGAGATGACTTTTATCTTAAAGTCACTGGAGTAAAGTGGCTTTAAAAAGTGCCCATTCATCAAAATCAATGAAAGTAAAGATTTCATCTTACACCTAAGAACCCATTACTTATTCCCAAAGGCAGCAAACTCAACTCCAACTCAGTTTCCTTTACTGACATGTATAACCTTATCCAATGTCTTCTAATAAAAGAAAAATACACCTCTTCAAGTTAGCAACACAAAGCAACTTTAAGAAGGTGCCTAAGACAGGCTGTATAAAGACCTCCCTCCTGCTGTTCACTTTGAAGCGAATGCTCTGAATCAGATGTACCAGCTTAGTTCATCAGGGTTCCTATCCTCCCACAGCACTAACCTAGGCCACTCTGGAGAAGCAATTAGTCTAGATAGGATTCACAGTCCAAAACTGAATGAAAACTAGCCACGGAGATGAAAAGTCTCTTTCCTACTGCTAAAAATTTTCTAGGAGTCTCAGAATCCCAAATTGATGTCTAATTCTGTTAAATGAGAAATGACCCGGCAGCACTTCATTTGACCAGGAAATGAGCTCTTAAACACAGTGCAAGAAAAATATGCCAACAAATCACTCCTCCAGTCTCTCCGGGGATTCACAAGGTAACCCTTCACAACACCTGCGATAACACTAACTTCCTTGCTAAGATAATGAGTAGCTATAAACTGGTAAAAGTACAGACTTGACATAGAAACTGCATAGTTATCCCTCAGAATTCCAAAGACCTGTACAATAAGCTCATCTCTCCCACCAGATTCCCTCCTTATCTCTGTAACCCTAACAGACTGGAGAGTAGAAACCCTCTGTTGAGTCAATCACGTCATCCTACTTTAAGATGCAGCATTTTCAAACCCAGTAATGTAATGTTTTAGAACATACTAAGCTGCATAAACCAAGCAACTTTTGCCCATAAAACATCAGACCAGACCAAGTGCAGTTCAAACCACTACACACACACACGGAGAGAGAGATTACTGCTATCCCCTCCAAGGTTTTTTTCTGAAATGCTGCATAAGATGTAGTAACTTAGGGAATGTTACTTGCAAAACTGCAAACCATCCTGGAGGCAGCTAACTTTGCTTTGAAAGGCAAATAAAACCTAATTATATCTAAGTTAGTGGATATCAATCTGTCTTTGTAAAATAAAGCAAAATCCTGCTAGGTTTTTAAAAAAATGACATCCCACCCTTTGATAACAATAAGCATTTAAAAATCCACAAACAGCATAACCACAACTGGTATTAATCTAGTATTTAAGCAAGAGTATCGGCTTTGTCGGGGGAAAGCCGCATGTAGGTTCTAGTCGGGCTTCTGGGCTAGGCAGCAGAGGTCTCGCGTTCACCGACGCCTCGAAGAATCGGTGACTCGCAGGGCTCCCCGCGACGCCAGTCCGCACCACACCCGGCCGGCAGGGGACACGATGACATGCACGTGCTTATTTGATTTTTTTCCTGCGAGAGGAGCTGTCTTCTCGCCACTTTCCACGGCTGTGAGAATGTGCACCGCAACTTCCAAAAGTTGGTTTGAGCGAAAAGCAGAAAAACAGGAAACCGAAACAGGAACCCGGCGCGGGGGTCGGCGGGAGCCGAGCGGCGGCGGGCAGGGCAGGGCAGGCGCGGGCAGGGCAGG